ACCGATTAGTTTTTATTCTTTTCAATTATATTTTAATATCATTAAAAAAAAACTGTTCGAAATTCACGATTTAAACAAACATTCATTTAGTCATTAACCTCCACGATTCGCTTTCATTCCAGAGAAAAATCGAAATAAAATGTTCAGGAAGAGCTTCGAATTCATATTCCAGGAGTTAGTACGGCGGCATAGCCAGGATTTAAAATTTTCTGACAAAGTTCATCCATTTCATCATTTTCTTAGCGATGCAAAAAGACTATTTGACTTTGTTACTTTCTTATGATATCCAGCAATTCAATATACAGGCAACTCTATTAATGGTGTGGCAATACCTTAAGAAAAGTGAAAATTATAAAGCATTTTCAGGATTTTTCCAAAAACCTGAAACCGGTGAGCAAAAAACACCGTATCCTTACACAGAAGTCTCTGAAAATCTCAGTAGATTGGTGGCACCCAGATATGTCAGGCCTTGGCTGCGCCACCATTCCTAATGTGACTGGTAGTAGGAAATTGACGTCAACGCATCGTTCTCATGCGATTTTTAAGGACACTCACATGACTAAAGTACAGAAAATAATTGACACCATATGTCTCGAAAATCAGCGAACAGGAAGGCAACGTTAATCACTGTTGTTGACGTTTGACTTACAGTTGCTCATTATTTTGAATATATTTTGCCATTTTTCATAGTTTTATGGATTATTTTCGCCGTCTGAAACATCGTTTCTATACGTTGAATCTTTTTGAAAGTGCTCTTTCAGGTACTAATGAATTTCAAGCATCAACTGAACGTTTATCAACGCGTATTTATCTCATTGTATTATTAATCTCTCTTACAATCTCTACAGTTTATTTTTCATTGGGCATGGAAATAAAAACTTTTATCATTGATAAACCATCTCAAATAACATACGAAAAACTTCAAAAAAATCATGCCTCAACTCTTCTTTGTCTGTGTTCAACAAATACAATTCCATATCGAAACTTTCTTTCTATTTCACCTGTTTATCATGAAATTTGTTCCAGTGATTTCATCTCTGATCAATGGTTAACATCTTTACATAACATTAATCGAACGCGTTACTATCAATTAGATTTCCGAGCAACTGCTACTTCTCTATTTCAACTTTTACGCACATTTTGTGAATGGAACAAACGCAAAAATCAGATTGCATTGAATCAATTCGAAACAACCATTTTCCTTTCTCGTTTTGTTATGTCACCAGAAGATTTCATCAAAGAAACTAAATTGATGTTTTCCTTTTTTGATCGATTGACTGTTCGACAGCATGAACAGATTCTGTTCATTGTTCTCGAAAGTGTCGCAGCTAATCAACTTGTTCCAGCTGTGCAAACAACCGGAGTGTTCAAGAAAGATAATCATCAACGAATTTATCTCTCATATGGCTCTTGGAGAAGATTCTGTTTTTGTTCTCACAATGGAAATTGTCGAGATGAGATGCAGCTCTACAATGATCTATTCAGCTTCCAACCCGATGGCATTTATAATGACAATTTATCTCCATATGCAAATGTTTCAGGATTTCTCACTGGTTGTTATATATTATACTCCTTAAGATTGTCAAATCTCCAATGTCTTTATGATCAGACATGTGTTGATTTGATGAAGCACACAAATGACTCGTTTTTGAAGCCACTCGAAAGGCATTCAAATAAATCGATGATTTCTTCGACTTCTGGTTTTATTGGAGGAAGCGATTATTTCATTCGACATTGGCAAAAGAATGCACGATATTCTAACTATTATAATATATGCTCACCAAGCTATTGTCAATATTCAATCGAACAACGCGCGAATCTTCTCTATATCCTAACAAATATGTTTAGTTTATACGGAGGATTGATCATGGTTTATCAAATTCTTATTCCAATCATTGTTACTAAAGTTCGAATGTGGTGGATACACCGAGGTAAACAACCTGCAAATGTAGATGAACAAAATGAAGGTACAAAATATCTTTTCGTAGATGTAACAGATTTCATCTGATTGTTTAGTGTTACCCATTCGAACTCGATTGCTTCGTTTATTCTTATTCGTTCGGTCAATACTTGTAGAACTGAATGTTTTTACTGGAAATGTTCCTCCTAACAACCTGAATGAAATCCAATCTGAACGGTTAGCTACTCGTGTTTACATTATGCTCTTACTTCTTATTTCTCTACCTTTATTACTTGCGAATATCTTCACCGTACGAGTTCATATAGAAACAAAAGAGAATCCCACCGAACCGGTTTTCGAACAACTGCATTCTCGTTATGGCAATTCTCTTCGATGTCTATGCAGAAATATCATCATACCCTTCGATGAATTTAGTCAAAATATCTACAAAATGCATAGTATATGCAAAAACAGTCAATTTATAAATAGCGAATGGTTTCTTTATTTTCCATTTTCCATCAGACATCAATTTACAATGTTAAATAGTATTTGTGAACGATCTCGAACAACTATCGCTATAGCCCATGAAGCTTTTCGCTTATTAGAAATGAAGACTGAACATGTAATCTCACGTGAACTACTCTATACACAAATGCATACAGTTTATCATCAATTACAAGCACAAGCCAAGGCAGAAATTCTCACGTCATTTCATTTAAATAGAATCTTAATGCATTCGGATAAATTAATGACAAGATCTCATATTCCAATCTATCATCCATCCGGAGAAATTGAAACTATTTTCAGTTCATATAACAATGGAACATGTAATTGTGCTTTGACATCGAAATGTATTATAGAAATTGTTCCATCCTTCTATATCGGATGTTATCCTACGGATTCTCTGTTACAATCAACTCTTGAATGCTTTTATAGCACCGATTGCATGGCTCTACTCGAATCATTTCGATCGAATCCAATGTCTGACACAACAGTTTTGAATCCGAATGAAACAGGATTCGCACGAAACACAACTATCGAATCGATGCTCAACGCATTGATGTTAGAGGAATGGAACATTAAAATAAATTATACAAAGTATTATACTCAGTGTAACCCAAAGAACTGTACTTATTCATATCCCGAAAAAGTCAATTTGATCTCCGGTATTATCCTATCACTCAGTCTTCTCAGTGGTCTTAATGTTTTACTAAAACTTTTGGTGCCGATTTTTTTCAAAATCATACAAACTTATTTCCTTCATCGATGGAATCATTTCAATTTCAAAGTGTTCATCTCGTCATGGAATACTTTTCCTTCTTACGCATCACGACGCGGTGATATCAATCGATTAAATACAGAAAAATCAGCTACGCAAACCTATATCGTAATCTTTATTTTATGCTTCATCAGTATAGCTGCGTATAAAATAGTTAATGCGCCAATGAAAACTGAAATTGTTTATAATCCAACGCAAAGTGCATTTCAAGATTTAGAAAAGAAGTACGGACTAGCGATGACGTGTCCGTGCAAACAAATCAGTATGAATTGTAAGTAGTGAAACGTTTATTAAACAAAATTTTTCTTCATTTTTCAATAGATGGCTCGTTTCTTTCGATTTCACCTGTATTTCATCAAATTTGTTCGAGTTATTGGATCTCTCCTTCATGGTTTTCGTTTCTTTTCGAAACATCGAATTCAACGTACAATCATCTCTTTATCTTGTCTCAATTCCAGTTCCTTTCATATATTTGCCAAATTAGTCGCTCATTCGCTTCTAATGCAATTTTTGCATTTACTAATGATACTTATATTTCATTACACGTTATCAGAGAATCAACATTTAATTCAGAAATCTTATCTTTGATGTCAAAATTTTTATTTATTAACTCGAAATCAATAAGTGAGATTATTGAATTTATGCAAGGACTCACACATGGTAGTGGAATTGTATCAGCATTGTATACAAACTGGAAATTAGTTCTCAGTAATGAAGATAATGTCACTGTGTTTACCGATCCGATCTCTTATGGAAATTGTTCATGTGGTGTGTATAGTTCGTGCACAGAAGTAACGATGATTCCTGGTCTACGCATTGGATGTTATCCTTCGTCAGCAATGATGCAATCGTCACTCGAATGTTTCTATAACGCCACATGTATTTCGATGTTCTTCGGGGCGAAAAAATGGCCAACATTGAGTATTGACAATCGATCTCGTTTTTCACCATCTCAAACAATGAAAGCGATTATTGAGCAACTGATGATAGAACAATGGATAAATATTACTAATTACACACTGTATTACGAAAAATGCGCTCCGACTTTGTGTAGTTATTCCTACCCCGAAAGATTCAATTATATATATATTATAACTATGCTAACTAGTCTTTACGGAGGACTTACAATGGTTTTACGTTTCAGCGTTTACCATGTCGTTACATACATTCGTAGTTTTGCTCGATGTCGAGTAGGCTTAGATGTAAATATAAATTCATAATCAGCAGTCTTAAACGAGAAATGAGGAATACATGATTCCACTCATATTTGTCGTTACAGTGAGATTGTATAAATCCAGACCAACGTAGAGCCGATGTTCGGTGGCATTATCACGAGATTGAATTGCCTGTGAGCATATCAGACCCACCGCGTATTCTTCTGACAGTTCGAGTTGAAATATCTCACATAGACATGTTTCACGAGATATATTGAACAGAATAGATTCTATATCTCGCCAACTGTGATATAATTTCGAATTTTACCAATATAGTTTCACAATCCGTCATCGAACATGACGAAAAAACCAAGAATTCTCCCCAACAAGCAATGTATCCAAATTATTTCTGCTCTTGAGCATGTAGTTAAAATACTTTTTCCTAATTTGAATTTTTCTTCCAATGGAAAAAGTGCAAGTCCTCATAGTAGTATATTTTCACACTATTCAATTGAACTAAAAGCAACACGAACAATTATATTATCGGAGAAAAGAATAATCAAGCTATAAATAATGTAGTCTGAATCAGTGCTGATAATTTACTCATAGCTGCGTTGCTAAAGGAATGTGTTTATAGTTTTATATGAGAAAAAGTTTTTCAAAAAATTCACATGTGCTGTTCTCTTATATCCTCTGTATCTGTATCTTTATCTGGATGCTGATAACTCACGACAGTGTCCGAAATTAACTGATCAGTTGTCATCTTAATAGCATCTTGAACCAAAGCCCATTCACCAAGACAACTTTCCACTCCTATCTGCATTTTTGGTTTACCAAATTGCTTTGGTTGATCAAACGTGCCAAGACATACATCGATTAAGGGTTTCTNTCTACTATTTGGAAAAATCGATGGAAAATCTCGACGGGGGCGCCCATGCAGAGAGTGGCTGGATGACATAACTGAGTGGTGTCAACTCAGTGGGCAGGAGCTGTTTCACCTGGCCCAAGATCGACAGGTATGGAAAAATCTGATCCCATAAAATGGTTGGCCCCAACGGGCGTTAAGCCTAAGGGACATGATGATGATGAAAGGCAAATGTAATTAATTTCTGTTCATTATGAGGATAACCACTTCAATTCGATATTCTCTTTTTTATTGGGATTTATGCAATTATTTTAAGATCGTGATGCTTATACAATTTAACATTAGTTTTCATGCAGAAAAATCTGATACAGGTTGGCAAATTTCCAACTTGTCGCCATACACACATGTGTATGCGAAGTTTTCGGAATAACAAGTAATCTTTTTATGTGAGATGAGACCTGCTATATTGATTTGTATTTAAGTATGTATTTTGTGCTTGTTCTTCAGTAGAGTGTCAGTCATATGAATGAAGGTATTTGGATTGGCAAGAAAATATCCTGATTCTCAGATATTCGGTTTCAACTTCACATCTGATTCTGATGATACTTATCGTTGAAATATCCACATTGATGGAACTATCTATGAATTCGCTATTTCCAAGAAGCTGACGTTCATGTTAATGTAATTTCGAGTTCTATAGTGTTTCAGAATTGTGTAAAAAGAGATACAATGATTTTGTTTCCATTGAGTTGTTTTCTTTTCCATCGCTTGATCGACATTACGAGTGAAGACAAAAAAAGAAAAATATGCACTTTTACTCTCTAAGTTTATATGCGAGATTTCATGATTTATTATTTTAAAAAGAAGAGAAATTTAATTTTACATTTTGACATATATAAATCAATGAGAATTGCCTAAAGAATGATTTTCAAAAGCTATAAAGCACTATTCAGGAAACTGTCGTGTAGCATGATTCCCAATATTTGTTTGACAGACGCACTCTGAATAAGACATCCACAAATGAAACTGCCTGCCTTACCTATATAACTCGGATTATTTTGACTCTTGGTGTAATCGAGAATTCCATTAACTAGATTCAACAAAGGATCGACTCCAGTTTCACTCTGTTCATTTGTCGGCAGGTTCACAACTCTTCTTACCGGTTTGTTGTCTCAGTTTAGCGGCGCTCAATCAATATCTCCTCACATCTCGTAACATTCGTCGCCATCAATGGATCAATCGATGACGACCTGTGCTCATGAGTTTATTTGCTATTTTATATTGGATGAGATTCATCGGTGCACTACACCCTCACCCTCACTCTTATTGAACAGCACTGACTCATGGAGCGCAAAAAATGTCTCACAGTTTCAAATTTGATCACCGACATGTAATCGTCTCTGAACGGTTCGTCGAAGCGTAGCCATTGTGTGACGAAATTTCTGTTTATATGCTCTAGCTGGTAAAACATAGATAGTAAAAATGAGCATTGTTGGAACGAATGAAACGAAATATGCCATAAGAAACAACCACGAACTCGCAGGCGTCTCCATACAACCAGCAGCAAATGTGATAATTAATCTTGGCAAATTAAGAATAAATAAAAGCAATGATGAAATCAGGAGATGTTTATGCTTTTGCAATTGTTGCCTTAATAGCTGTTGGAAGGCTGTATCACTTTTCGTTATTGTGCGATGTTGAGCTGTTTGAAAAATAATAAGTATTCCTGCATGGAAATTAATCAGAAATGGAACCGTAAAATGAATTGCACTCATTGTTCGATGAAATAATCGAGTTTTCGAGTGGTATTTCACAACACACACAGTACGTTCGTCACCATAACTATCATCGTCAATCAATTGCCGATGAATTGGATCAATTAAGTTAACGTTCACAAGAAAAATCAATAGAAAAATAACAGCAAATTTTGAGATTTTTTTACTTTTCTTCTTGTCGAAATGAATTCCTTTGACTACCGTGATTACTCGTTCGAAAGCTATACAAGCATGCAACCATTGATTCATTTGAAGACCAATTTGTAGCAAATAGTCAACGATCAGACATTGTCCATATAGAAATAACCGATTCGTTACGAGACCCATCTGAGAAATCAACAAAATGTAAAACTTGAAGGAAAATACCACCGTTGTAAACAAAGTCGTTAACGCTAAACAAAGAAGATAAATTCCACAACCATTCTCTAACAAATCTTTGTTTTTAAATGTTAACAAACAAAAACTTCCATCAATAAAACCAAATGCCAACAGCAAACTGACGATGATCAAACTGATCCAGACAATGATCGGTTGAGATTTAAGCGAAAGATTCGGCTGGATATGATAAGCCAAAATTGCATCAAGAGATAAACTAAATCCTTTGCTGGTAAACTGACATTTTGATCCATAAAAACACTTTGGACACATGCATACAGATGTTTGAGGACAAAGAAGATTATCTTGTAAACATTGCCCGCCATTTTCACAAAGACTTTTCCCGCTACAGTCACGTTTAACTGTGTGATTGAATTCGAAGCAGTTTGCCTGCTGTTGATGCTGAAACTCTGTGCATATGCAAAGATGGACGTCGTCGTAAAAACACGACAGATTCAATCGAAAGTTCTGACAGGATAGATGATAGAATTTTATTCGTTCGATAAGATGAAGTTGAAAGAACGTTTCGTTGAAAACTTCACGAATATGTGGACAACGATCAGACGATTGAATTTCTTTGTGAATAACGATTGATTGATTGTAAATGTGGTCAACATAACTCAGGTAATATTTATTAACGAAGATTTCGACGAAGATCAAATGAAATGGTCGCAACCAGAATATCCGAGTGGGTTTGCGATCAAAAGGAAGCCTTTTGAATGTAACACCAGTTGCCGGTGGATAATTCTTACCTTTAACTTGAATAAAGTGAACGAAGATCGTTTCAGGTAAGGGAATTCGATTTGAAAATGAAAGAATCAATTCATTGGAACGTATTTCGCATCGATCACCAAAATAACCTTGCGGACAAAGACAATGAAACGTTCTCTCAATTGGATTTATCGAAATACACTGACCATCATTTTGACATTTACTGCTCTCGCGACACGTCTCATCACGAAGTAAACATCGATGGCCCCATTTGTTCACTGGACAAAGACAAATCGAACGATTGTTGGGCAAACGACCTTGATACAACGAATCGGATGAACATTGACATTCATGTGGTATCGAACAATCGTGACCAGTCCATCCTCGATCACATCGGCAAAACTTCCGATGCTTTTCGTCGTTAAAATAATGAAGACATTGTCCATGATGACATTCATTCGTTTGACAATATTTTATTTGATAGTTTTTCGATGGGATATTGAATAGAACAGCGATACGTTGAATTGGTAGGAAAAGAAACCTGATCGGAACGAATAAACTTGCTCGATATGTTAAAGAGATCTTTTCATAAACATCAACATGTATTGAATATTTCTTGGATTGGTTTTTTGGTCGGTCGGCATAGAGTAAATAAACATTAAATTTCGTTTGACATGTTTTCATTGGAATATATACGAATTGTTCATAGGAATGAATGATTTCTTCGTCGATCAGTGAAACAACAATCAGAAATGGTATTTGCCATGAATCAGAAAATGATTGAAATTGCATTGTTAAGCTTATTCGGTCAGTTTGGTATTGACATTGTGAACCGTAATAACTCGGCGGACAAAGACATGTTAGATCATTTTTGTTTTCGTCGATCCAAATTTGTAAAGGAAGACCTCGGTGGCAACTTTTTGTATGTTCAGTACTCACTTCGGTATTCACATTCGATTGACTTGATCGTTCGGTTTTCTCGCTCAAGGTGAAATAGATGAATTTTGGAGCACGCGTCATTTTGAATTGATTGCACAGAAATTGATCCATCTCCGAATATGTCATTAGTTCTTTGGCACAAATGTCTGTGAGACGAGATAAATTGATACTGCTGCCATCATTACAGATTCTTTCATCCTGATCTCCATCGCACTGAAAGTGTCCATTACAGATCGAGTGACGCGAGAAACATACCTCATTCCCATGAAATGTACAATAGAATCCATGTTCTGACAAAGAATAAACTTCCTTTCGACACAATCTTGGTTCATCGATCGCGCCGACACAATCAATTTCGCCATTATTTCCTTTTGTGATAGGAAGACAAGTCAAATTCAGTGTTACCGGGGAAATGCATACATGACTTCGCACTGGACAATCGATTAGCGATGTAGGATGACAATCAACTTCATCAGCACCGTCCGGGCAATTCCACAAACCATCACAACGCGTATAAATATTTATACATGGCCATTGTATGCAATCGGTTTCATCTGTATGATTTCGATCATCGATTTTCAACGGTTTCAAATCAGTAAACCCGTCACAGGTTGTTTGAAATGAGATATGTGTGCGAATAGTATAAAGAATTTGAATTTCTTCTTCACACATTTGGTAAAGATCGAAGGAACAGTCGCATATAAGATCACCAATCAATCGACGGGAAATACATTTGCGAGTTTCTTTGCAATAAAAGTGCGTCTGGTTTTCTCCTTTGGAACAAGGATCTTTACCTTCAGTCAATTGTTCATCATCCGCAAAATCACAATCGATAATTCCATCCAGTAAACGATACTTTGAAATACATTTCGAAGAGTTCCAGCATCGGTACATCATTGGATGATTACAAATCGTGGAATTGTGTTGAATTGTATTACATTTATACAATTCGACATATGCATACGTGTAAACAGTATTACGTATCAGTTGCTCGATCCAAGAATTTTCATATGGAGGAAAATCTTTTGCTAAATGACAAACTGTATTATTAAAATAGACTATTGTCCGATTTGGATGAAATCCGCCACACAATCGTTCGTTATAGCAAATGTATTCGGGTTCGTTTGTCCAAACTTCTTGTTCAACAAGGTACTTTTTTGTATAAGCTAAATACATATGTCCGTATATGACTGGCACCGGTGGCATATAAAACATATCTGGACAACTTTCAGCAATAATTTTCTGCTTTTCATTACTGTAACATTCGAAGTTGTAAGGATCGACAAGTCTCAGATAACATTTTAACGCCATCCAACAGATTTCCGACATAGATTCTGTTCTCTCTGAAAGCATGAGTTTTTGTCGTTCTTCGAAGCGATCTCCGCCAATACATGAAGTGGTATATTTTAAAGTATCAGACCAGTCTTCATGCCAACAAGTAATATCTTCGTGGGAAAAGATTGGTACCCAGCTTAGCTCGAGAAACTCGCCTAAAATCGGGTAAGATTCATCAGATCGATCGAGACAATCTGGATAGAGGGCATGATCACTATAAAATATCAAAGGTATACATTGGCCATTTACACATCGAAATTCATTGTCTTCACATTGATTAACATCCAACTGCCAACAATCGATTTCATCACGACCATCTTCACATTGAATTATGTTATTGCATATATCACTCCAATCAAGACAGAATGTTGGAATAGCAGAAATACATCGAAACTGTGTATAACACGTCAGAGAACTATCAACATCTTTATAATAGTCCAAGGTCATTCTCTCCAAGGATTGGTGAGAAGAATGAAGATATGCGAATGAATATTGACAATACCGACCAAATCTCGGTAGTGTACAGTTATAATAAACTTCCTTTGATAGGGATGTGTCATTGAGGTGACTAAGATAATATGCGTAGTTTTCAATGATATCGATCGGTGTTGACCAAAGAAAGAGTTGTTCACTAGTTATATTAAGTTTGTAGAGATCGACGAAAATCAGCTTTTGATTAGATTTATTTGGAATTGAAATATTCCATTTCGATGGCCATTCACTTAAGCAATAGGAAAGAATCTGGTAAGGATCGTTTTCAATTCTGAATGAACTTTGAACATGCAAACAATCATGTTGTAATATCGAACTATGTTCGCCAGTCCATTCAGTTAAATCCAAATTGATTTGAATGAATTTCATAGTTGATATCGAGTAGAAGAATAGAAATATTTGAAAAACAAGCATCATCTGTGGAGTTTACTATTCCACCATTATCAGATCTCAATAAATGAAAAAACCTTCTTGCGCGTGAGTATTCATCTTATATACTAAAGATTATGTGCATAACCAAATCCTTCTATGTACTCTCTGTCAAAGTAAAACATGACTTAGAGAGTTTTTAATATAATCTGCTTAGCTTTAATGCAAATTCATCGATCATCCACAATAGAATATAAAAATTTTTTGTAGTTGGATGGGAGAGACTGAAAATTATATGTTCATTGACATTAGTGGCAGATCCTAGGACGTGTACAATGGTTTTGTTGAACTGAAACTCACATTGAAAGTGTCCAGGTAACGAGTAATGAGAATGGCAACAGATTTTGCATCGCAGATAACTCGAACATTCAGCCGTTGACGCAGTGGTATAAGAAAAACTGTATCAACATTTTTAGAGAATGACGTACATATACGTTCGTTTTACTGCAGAACCGACGAACAATGCACGTCTGAATACTTACGTCACATAGTCTTTTGATTTTGGTATATAAAATAACAAAAGAAATTTTATTTCACTCGTTACTATTCATTTTTCGTCGTTGAACGGTAATTCGACATCACTGCGATCGACCCTAATACGTTCATTTCATCTTTGTTTGATTAATTGACTTAAAATGGCTGCAGTAATTCAATCTGTCATTTTTATCTGCATAGTTCTGTTTGTTTAGTATAATGAATGACGTGGAACACACATTTTCTTTTCATTTAGTTTCACAACAAATTGTTTCTGGCCTTATATGTTATTACTGTACAAATTGTAATGACATTCTAAGTAATCGATCAATAATTAATCCATCCTATCCGACTTCTCAGTGTTACGTAAGCAACAAGATTCTCTAGATAAAACCGAAGTGTTCATTGCTTTTTCTGTAGTCATACGTATATAGATTGAAAGGAAAAACGTACATAAATCGTAGTTCTAGAAGCGTGTGTAATTCAACAATATACACTTATACTATAGTACATTTTACTGCTGTTCGATTGACTTCTGTAATACGATCTTTTTACCTTCGGAATCGAGTTCGGTCTATTCAACATCGATTCTGACTGTGGTTATCAATATGTATTGACATTCATTGCGATCAATTACAAAACATTTTCCTAGTGTTCGTCTTTGTTTTCACTCATATTTTCTGTCTCTTTCTTTTTTCTTTTGGAATTTCTCTGGAAATAAATAAGGTACGTGAGTGTGAGCGTTCGGTTGTATGCGATCGCATTGTACCTAGCTGTATGATTACCAGCGCGAGGAGAACTGACACTTGCTGAATGTAATTGATCAGTCGATGGCGTGGATGAAGGTTTAAATTATAATGCTTACATCCACGCGCAAATGAGGAATGATTTATCGCTTACTTAACAACTGCAAAGTTTCTTTATTGTTATTAAGACGAAGTATTAAAACAAGACAATCGCTTGATTAATCTAAAGTGATGCCGCCAATTATTACTTAATATATATGTGCAAATTTGAGTGGGTAAGAATCTTTTGAAAACATAACTGATATGTCTAATCGAGTAAAAAGCATGACTTTTTGGTCATCCATCCTTCTCTATCGTTTTCAAATCGTGTTTTTCCAGTCGTTCTATACTTTGTGTGTTTTGTAGAAGATTTATTTGAATTATCTGAGAATAAATACCGTCTGGCAACATATCAGTTATTTCATTGAGAATCCTTTTACATTTCTTGACCACTTCAGAGACAACGACTGTTTATCATCGTCAATAAGACTTAAAAATTGCTTCAAAATCCCATCACAACGACTCACAATTATTTGTTTGTCTTCACCAATGACAGATTTGAGACTATTTGCGTAAATTAAATGAAGTTGTTCAACGTCTTCATTTAATTCTTCGACTGATTTGTACTGTTTCGGACAAGGCAAAGTACGACGCTTGATTGTTCCTGAGTAGAATTTCGCTAATTGGTCGTAAATTTCCACCACCTTCTGATAAATCATCGATACTTTTGTTCTACTTTGCGATTGTGCCAGCAATTCATCTGCTACTGTTTGCACAAGATCTGTTAAATAACATTTCTCTCTCCACTCCTTCGGAATCTGATCAATACCATAAAAAGCACCTGCTAACATTCCATAAATTGCTCCCACTGTGTCGGCATCGTCTCCTAAGTTCACTGCTTTCAATGCCCCTTCTTCAAACGAGCTTGAGTGATAAAAAGCCCACAGTGCCGCTTCCATTGTTTCGACAACAAATCCAGAAGCTTTGATTTCTGGTGGATTCAGATGTTTATATGATCCCTTCATAACTTTTAAAACATCTGTTTCGACTGTATTGGTGATCCAATAATCATCCGGTAAGCCATTTGGAAGAAATAGTTTCTCGTCATTCAATAAATCATTTTTTGAAAATCCTTGTAAAGCACCAATGATTAAACTAGTGTAGATTCGACAACAATCCAAGCAGAAAGACGAAGCATGCGTTGTTTTTGATGAATTCATCGCTTCGATCATTGCTTGCAAAGGATTTTCGCGATAGAGTAATGGAATCGGTGCTAAACGCATCAACGAACCATTACCCGATGCTTTTTGACTTGTATTTCCGTAATAGGCAGTTGAACTGATTGACTGTTTATCCGAATCAGAAATAAACTTATTCAAAGCAATTCGAACAGTTATTCCGATATCAAAACATTCGCCATTCGATGATAAATAACCATTTTCATACCAACGTCGATAAAGATTCATTTGTTTGACTGACTGATGAGTTGTTGAATCGTCATTGTCGTCCAATAGAGCAAACGCTAAGCACAATGCCATAGATCCATCATCGGTAAATTGGCCAGGCTTTAATTGAAACTTTCCACCACCTCGTAATGTTTTCACTGGATCAAATGAGTCTGATGTCTGACATTCAACAGCAGTTCCGAGTGAATCGCAGATTAATAGACCAAATAGTGAACCAGACACACGATCTGATAAGTTGATTTCGTTAGAAGACATCGAATTATTTCTGGATAACAAGACGATTGAATTTATACTGTTTTCTTCGTCTTACAGCCAAAAGAAAAAAACAGCCACAAAAAAGAATGTTGTTGTCAGGTTTTTTTCTTTCCTTCTGTCGATATTCTTATGAGTCATCAAGGACATTACTCGATGACTAACACAACCGAAATGCTCGTCTTCTTAGCATGACTATTCCACAAATAGAAGCAAAAGTCACCTACACATCACTCTTTTTTCTTCTAGAAAATTCTGTATAGATAGTTTGACCTGACACTTGTCATGTATTATTGTTAATCACATATTTTGGACTATTGTGTACGACGACATTGTGCTTCGGTGAAGTTTGAAAAACTCTCTCTCGAACAGTGTACATATTCAACAGACAAAGTCATTGATAAGTTAACTAGAATGAATTCTGCATAGAAGTCACGGTAGTTCCAAAATCTTTTGATTTTGTTGAACATCAATTTGTCAGTGATCATGTTTGTTGTTGGTGTCGTCAGCAGTCTCACTTCACTTTTGACTTTTCAAAATGCAACTTCAAGAACAGTTGGATGTGGACTGTATCTCCTAGCATCATCAGTCACATCTCTCTTGACAATCACTATGTTCTCAATCAAGTTTTGGTTTGTTGTTATGACACAAATCGACATGTCTGCTTCTCGGTCAGTTCTTCAAGGCGGTTGCAAGTCGCTTGACACTCTTCTGAAGCTGTTCTTTTACTGGGATTCTTGGCTCAGCGCATGCGTCGCGGTCGATCGTGCAGTGAATGTTTACATAGGAGTGCGCTTTGATAAAGAGAAAAGTAAACGTTTCGCTCGATGGATCATCTTCGCCTTGCCAGTCTTGATCATGGGCTCGCTGATTCATGAACCAATATACCGTCAAATATCCAAACATGAAACAATGGAAAAAACAAAAAACAACGTAGGAATAATTCCTACAACGGAAATTGTGACACATAATTATGTCTGGTGTGTAACTACATATCCACAATCAGTTCAAGATTACAACACAGTCATCCTGTTCATTCATCTTCTTGGTCCATTTCTTACAAACCTCTTCTCTTCAGTATTCATCATTATTGCAAGTGCTCGCCGACGGGCTGAAGCTCAGAATCGACAACCCTATCGAGAACATCTTCGTGGACAATGGAGTGAACATAAACAACTTGTTATCAGTCCTCTAGTTTTACTTCTTCTGTCAACACCACGCCTTGTCATTTCTTTGTTATCTGGATGCACAGATGTTTCTCGTTATGCATGGCTGTATATTTCTGCTTATTTCATATCGTTCACACCATCGATACTCATATTTATTATCTTTGTCCTTCCTTCGACTTCGTATCGGAGTACTTTCAAACAATCGCTTTTTGAACTTTGCAAAAGACGACGGTTATAGAATAAATGATTACTACTTTTTGCTTTTTCGTAACCGATTCGAAAGCCTGTGGTGTATTAGTGTTTGCCGTCATTCTCTTCTATTATATAATAAAACAATGATATATACTTCATTTCCAGAAATATACGTTTCAGTATCGGGCCTCCAAAGTAGCAAGATGGAGCTCAGCTCTCCTTTCAAAATGCTTTAGTCTTATCTATTAATAAGAAAAAAAAACAGATTCTCGCCAATACTTATCATTTGTCATTATAGACGAATCACTTTTTCAAGATCCTGTTGGATCCATTCTTTGATTTATGAACATAAATACATAGATAGCGTAAGACTACAAAAGCAAAATCGACGAACTATTTTGCTAATCATTCATTACGTTCTTCTAATATCTAATCAAACATAGAAATATCTACAATAAAGAATATCATATGTTATTAGTCGATATTTATGCTATGTAGAAGTTTTTCTCTAAAACAAGAACCATGCTATCATTACTTTCGTTAAAAAGCAGAAAATGCTCATAGAGTCTGCTATCATTCAATCATCATATAGAATGGAATTCCGATTCTATAAAATCAAAGACCACAATCTCTTATTGTATTTCTTCAAATGTACTTCGGAGTCTTTCGATTTAGTAAAGTTAATCCATGTCGACTCAGTTTTACGTTTTTGCTTCCTTATTTTCATCGTCGTTTACTCGAATCATTTTTGTTCGTCACTCGTTTGAACGTTTAGCATCTGTTTATAAAGAAAAAATTGCAACACTTGTCAAAAATAGAACTGAATCTGAGCTCGAATACGATGCCATACGCACAATAATCTGTAATCAAAATAAAGGATACAGAAGAAATAAATAACCGGTATTAAAAATACTTTCGTGCACAGAGTCTATACCTTTATCTGACGATTTTGTTCGTTATATTCTTCTTGAAGATCGAGTAGCTCGTGGAATTATTAAACTGGATTTTCATTGGCAACTATACTCAACACTCTGTCAAGTATGCAAATTTAGATATAATTTTATTAGTAAATCCATTCCGGTATATCTCATTATGTCCTTACGTCAGTGCATTTGAATGTACTTTTATATAATATTTTCTTGCGTTCTCTTCTGTATGGGCGACTATATAAACGAGTGTTTTGCGTCAGAACGATGCAATTCAAGAGAAAGAAATAACATTAAGCGTAGTTTCATCAGCACATGCATCTTTTCCACAAAAAATTGTCACAAATAACAATCTGATTTATCAAAGTGTATGACTTTAACTAACTAACTAAATATCAAAAGTAAACTTTACCCGATTAGTTTTTATTGTTTTCAATTATATTTTAATATCATTAAAAAAAAACTGTTCGAAATTCACGATTTAAACAAACACTCATTTAGTCATTAACCTCCACGATTCGCTTTCATTCCAGAGAAAAATCGAAATAAAATGTTCAGGAAGAGCTTCGAATTCATATTCCAGGAGTTAGTCCGGCGGCGTAGCCAGGATTTAAAATTTTCTGACAAAGTTCATCCATTTCATAATTTTCTTAGCGATGCAAAAAGACTATTTGACTTTGTTACTTTCTTATGATATCCAGTAATTCAATATACAGGCAACTCTATTAGTGGTGTGGCAATACCTTAAGAAAAGTAAAAATTATAAAGCATTTTTCCAAAAACCTGAAACCGGTGAGCAAAAAACGCCGTATCCTTCAACAGAAGTCTCTGAAAAGCTCAGTAGACTGGTGGCACCCAGATATACCAGGCCTTGGCTGCGCTACCGTTCCTAATGTGACTGGCAGTAGAAAACAGACGTCAATGCATCGTTCTCGCACGAGTTTTAAGGACACTCACATGACTAAAGTACAGAAAATAATTGACACCATATGTCTCGAAAATCAACAAACAGGAAGGCAGTGTTAATCACTGTTGTTGATGTTTCACTTACAGTTGCTCATTATTTTGAATATATTTTGCCATTTTTCATAGTTTTATGGATTATTTTCGCCGTCTAAAACATCGTTTCTATACGTTGAATCTTTTTGAAAGTGCTCTTTCAAGTATTAATGAATTTCAAGCATCAACTGAACGGTTATCCACGCGTATTTATCTCATTGTATTATTAATCTCTCTTACAATCTCTACAGTTTATTTTTCATTGAGCATCGAAATAAAAACTTTTATCATTGATAAACCATCTCAAATAACATATGAAAAACTTCAAAAAAATCATGCCTCAACTCTTCTTTGTCCGTGTTCAACAAATACAATTCTATATCGAAACTTTCTTTCTATTTCACCTGTTTATCACGAAATTTGTTCCAGTGGTTTCATCTCTGATCAATGGTTAACATCATTACATAACATTAATCGAACGCGTTACTATCAATTAGATTTCCGAGCGACTGCTACTTCTCTATTTCAACTTTTACGCACATTTTGCGAATGGAACAAACGCAAAAATCAGATTGCAATTAATCAATTCGAAACAACCATGTTCCTTTCTCGTTTTGTTATATCACCAGAAGATTTCATCAAAGAAGCTAAATTGATGTTTTCCTTTTTTGATCGATTGATTGTTCGACAGCATGAACAGATTCCGTTCATTGTTCTCGAAAGTGTCGCAGCTAATCAACTCGTTCCAGCTGTGCAAACAATCGGAGTGTTCAAGAAAGATAATCATCAACGAATTTATCTCTCATATGGCTCTTGGAGAAGATTCTGTTTTTGTTCTCACAATGGGAATTGTCGAGATGAGATGCGACTCTACAATGATCTATTCAGCTTCCAGTCCGATGGCATTTATAATGACAATTTATCTCCATATGCAAATGTTTCAGGATTTCTCACTGGTTGTTATGTATTATACTCCTTAAGATTGTCAAATCTCCAATGTCTCTATGATCAGACATGTGTTGATTTGATGAAGCACACAAATTACTCGTTTTTGAAGCCACTCGAAAGGCATTCAAATAAATCGATGATTTCTTCGACTTCTGGTTTTATTGGAGCAACCGATTATTTCATTCGACATTGGCAAAAGAATGCACGATATTCTAACTATTATAATATATGCTCACCAAGTTATTGTCAATATTCAATCGAACAACGCGTGAATCTTCTCTCTATCCTAACAAATATATTCAGTTTATACGGAGGATTGATCATGGTTTATCAAATGCTTATTCCAATCATTGTTACTAAAGTTCGAATGTGGTGGACACACCGAGGTAAACAACCTGCAAATGTAGATGGACAAAATGAAGGTACAAAATATCTTTTCGTAGAAGTAACAGATTTCATCTGATTGTTTAGTGTTACCCATTCGAACTCGATTGCTTCGTTTATTCTTATTCGTTCGGTCAATACTTGTAGAACTGAATGTTTTTACTGGAAATGTTCCTCCTAACAACCTGAATGAAATCCAATCTGAACGGTTAGCTACTCGTGTTTACATTATGCTCTTACTTCTTATTTCTCTACCTTTATTACTTGCGAATATCTTCACCGTACGAGTTCATATAGAAACAAAAGAGAATCTCACCGAACCGGTTTTCGAACAACTGCATTCTCGTTATGGCAATTCTCTTCGATGTCTATGCAGAAATATCATCATACCCTTCGATGAATTTAGTCAAAATACCTACAAAATGCATAGAATATGTAAAAACAGTCAATTTATAAACAGCGAATGGTTTCTTTATTTTCCATTTTCCATCAGACATCAATTTACAATGTTAAATAGTATTTGTGAACGATCTCGAACAACTATCGATATAGCCCATGAAGCTTTTCGCTTATTAGAAATGAAGACTGAACATGTAATGCCACGCGAACTGCTCTATACACAAATGCATACAGTTCATCATCAGTTACAAGCACAAACCAAGGCAGAAATTCTCACGCCATTTCATTTGAATAGAATCTTAATGCATTCGGATAAATTAATGACAAGATCTCATATTCCAATCTATCATCCATCCGGAGAAATTGAAACAATTTTCAATTCATATAACAATGGAACATGTAATTGTGCTTTGACATCGAAATGTATTATAGAAATTGTTCCATCCTTCTATATCGGATGTTATCCTACGGATTCTCTGTTACAATCAACTCTTGAATGCTTTTATAGCACCGATTGCGTGGCTCTACTCGAATCATTTCGACCGAATCCAATGTCTAACACAACAGTTTTGAATCCGAATGAAACAGGATTCGCACGAAACACAACCATCGAATCGATGCTCGACGCATTGATGTTAGAGGAGTGGAACATTAAAATAAATTATACAAAGTATTATACTCTGTGTAACCCAAACAACTGTACTTATTCATATCCCGAAAGAGCCAATTTGATCTCCGGTGTTATCCTATCACTCAGTCTTCTCAGTGGTCTTAATGTTTTACTAAAACTTTTGGTGCCGATGTTTTTCAAAATCATACGAACTTATTTTCTTCATCGACGGAATCATTTCAATTTCAAAGTGTTCATCTCATCATGGAATACTTTTCCTTCTTACGCATCACGACGCGGTGATATCAATCGATTAAATACAGAAAAATCAGCTACACAAACCTATGTCGTAATCTTTATTTTATGCTTCATCAGTATAGCTGCGTATAAAATAGTTAATGCGCCAATGAAAGCTGAAATTGTTTATAATCCAACGCAAAGTGTATTTCAAGATCTAGAAAAGAAATACGGACTAGCGATGACGTGTCCGTGCAAACAAATCAGTATGAATTGTAAGTAGTGAAATGTTTGTTAAACAAAACGTTTCTTCATTTTTCAATAGATGGCTCGTTTCTTTCGATTTCACCTATATTTCATCAAGTTTGTTCGAGTTATTGGATCTCTCCTTCATGGTTCTCGTTTCTTTTCGAAACATCGAATTCAACGTACAATCATCTCTTTATATTGTCTCAATTCCAGTTCCTGTCATATATTTGCCAAATTAGTCGCTCATTCGCTTCTCATGCAATTTTTGCATTTACTAATGATACTTATATTTCATTACAAGTTATCAGAGAATCAACATTTAATTCAGAAACCTCATCTTTGATGTCAAAATTTTTATTTATTAACTCGAAATCAATAAGTGAGATTATCGAATTTATGCAAGGACTCACACATGGTAGTGGAATTGTATCAGCATTGTATACAAACTGGAAATTAGTTCTCAGTAATGAAGATAATATCACTATGTTCACCGATCCGATCTCTTATGGAAATTGTTCGTGTGGTGTGTATAGTTCGTGCACAGAAGTAACGATGATTCCTGGTCTACGCATTGGATGTTATCCTTCGTCAGCAATGATGCAATCGACACTCGAATGTTTTTATAACACTACGTGTATTTCGATGTTCTTCGGAGCGAAAAAATGGGCAACACTGAGTATTGACAATCGATCTCGTTTTTCACCATCTCAAACAATCAAAGCGATTATTGAGCAACTGATGATAGAACAATGGATAAATATCACTAATTACACACTTTATTACGAAAAATGCGCTCCGACTTCGTGCAGTTATTCCTATCCCGAAAGATTCAACTATATCTATATTATAACTATGCTAACTAGTCTATACGGAGGACTTACGATGGTTTTACGTGTCGGCGTTTACTATGTCGTTACATACATTCGTAGTTTGGCTCGATGTCGACGTCGAGTAGGCTTAGATGTAAACATGAATTCATAATCAGCAGTCTGAAACGAGAAATGAGGAATACATGATTCCACTCATATTTGTCGTTACAGTAGGATTGTATAAATTCAGACCAACGTAGAGCTGCTGTTCGGCGGCATCATCAGGAGATTGAATTACCTGTGAGCATATCAGATCCACCGCGTGTTCTTCTGACAGTTCGAGCTCAAATATCTCACATAACAACAGTATAGTTTCTATATCTCGCGAACTATGATATAATCTTGGATGTTGCCAATATAGCTTCATCATCCATCATCAAACATAACGAAAAAACAAGAATTATCCTCGACAAGCAATGTATCCAAATCATTTCTGTGCTTGAGCATGCAGTTAAAACACTTTTTCCTATAATTTTAATTTTTCTTCCAATGGAAAAAAGTGCAAGTTCTCATAATAGTATATTTTTCACACTCACTGTTGAATGGAGCTATAAGTAGTACGAACAATTATAGTATCGGGCAAAATAATAATCAAGCTATAAATAATGTAGTCTAGAGGAGTGCTGATAATTTACTCATAGTAGTGTTTCTAAAGAAATGTGTTTATAGTGTTATATGACAGAAAGTTTTTCAAAAAATTCACATGTGCTGCCATCTTATATCGTCTGTATCTTTATCTGGATGCTGATAACTCACGATAGCGTCCGAAATTAACTGATCAGTTGTCATCTTGATAGCATCTTGAACCAAAGCCCATTCACCAAGACAACTTTCCACTCCTATCTGCATTTTTGGTTTACCAAATTGCTTTGGTTGATCAAACGTGCCAAGACATACATCGATTAAGGGTTTCTCTTTAGATTGATATGCGAGAGGAGTACCACACTGAGCACAGAAGATACGTCGAGCGAGCGATGAACTTTCAAATGAAGCGATGGAGCCACGTGTCCATTGAAAGTCTGTTGAGTTGAAAGCAACAAAGGCACCCGAAGGAGAACCCAAGCGCTTTCTGACACATTCGACAATGGCACACAGTAAGAGACTGAACAGAAGGTGCAGAGATGGAATAACGAATAGCACCGCATTGGCAACCACCGGTGTAAAGTGCTGTGCGAGTATTCATCTTACAGTCAAAAACGAAACTGACTTCAACTCAATATTTGTATAGAGTAAAAATGATAAGAACAAATAAGGAAAGAAAGAAATGAATGATGTTTTTTGAGATAAAGAAAAGGAGAAAAAGACGACAAGGTTGCTTCTTTCGAAGTGCTGTTCATAATGTATCAATTGAAAATATAACCATTGCATCTAAGATTGACCATCTTGTGAAGCCTTACCATCTAAATACGGGCAACGATGCTCGACATCTTTATTTCTCCCAAAGTTCGAGAAGACGGTTATGTCATTGATTAACGATAATGCAAATGTTTCCTTATTTTAACTAGGCAAACGATACAATTCAGTTTCGCTTGTATCTAATTAGTTCATTCTCTTTGTTTGAAAAATAACATGAAGCAGTTGTCAAATGTTTTCTTTATATATTAACCTTAGCTGGGTGCAAATAATGTCGAAGAAGAAAGTTTTCCTTTTCAAATATTTGCGATCACTGTTACCGATCTGTAGCTTGAAATTATATCCATTGAAATCAGATCTACTAATCCTATCAAATAATGTACATATTCCCGTTCGAGAAAAAAAAACAAATAAGAATTAGGAGTCGGTAAGTTATAGGTAGAAACAACAAAAATAAGGTTCATCGTGTTTTAGTTCGCAATGTTCAACATAGAGAGAATGTCAATTAAGTGTATGATCGATACAAACATCCATATTAATCCTTTCTATTTAGCATTTTCATTCAATCAATCAAAGTTTTCTCCAAATGCAGTGTGCCATTCGTCTAGTATAAATTTTATCGATGTGAACACGATCGGTGCGAATCCATCGAATATTTTTATTACTAGAAACAATACCATCTGTGTCGCGAGTTATAAGAATAGTCGGGTTATGACATGGAGTCAAAACCATTCTGTACCAATCAGGAATGTCTTAAACCAATTTAGTCTGTTGTTTTTACAACAGAGTGCTTGCTATACATCTTGAGGGACATTCTTACTGGTAGAATTCACAAATGAACATTAAACGCATGTGGAAGATGCTTTGACACTTTTGTTGATACAGATGAGAATCTCTACTGTTCGATAAGAAATCAGCATCAAGTATTTTCGCGAATACAAATTTTGATTTGGTTACAGAAAGTGGATCTATAAACATCACAATCAGACGTTCATTTTCTGTTCGAATTTTTTTTTTGATGACAATACTCGGCCGAAAAATTTCAATCAAAATTATTCGGCTGAGATTGACGTTTATGAAACATTCTCTCTGGAATATCGGGTAGGTTTTCTTTATCCGATCACATTTTCATTTCTACCAGTTTATCGCGTAGCACTTACAGGAAATATTCCATCTGAGGAAGATGAAAGTTGCGCAGTGACTCATCTAAAATATCAACACGGAAGATGTCGAAAGTATTTCAGCACCAAAACAAATATTCTATAGTCGGACGAATCTTGGGATATTCCATACAAACAAATCTGCATATTCGTCAAATTCTTTATCAATTGGTTCGTTAAGTAATAATCGATCAGTATGTGTTTGTGATGAATCTCCGTATCAGAACAATGGTCCATGTATCCCCTATGATGCGTTGATGCAGCTTTTAACAAACGAGAAATATGCTTGTATTTGTTCGAAATGTTTTAGCGGGAAACAATGTGAGTTAATTGACGCAAAAATCAGTTTAATCTTTAATCAATCTCTATTTGTCTCCATCAATTTTTATTCTAATTATTCGATTTAGAAATGGATTTGCTACAAATCCGACATATACACCATGAAAGATCAACAAATTCCATTCGAATTTACTAGCTCAAACCTTTTTGTTGGATCGTCTAAGACCGAATCGATATTTGAGGGTGTTTTTATTTATTTGCCCTATTCTCGAATGCGATCACTTTTAATAAAACTAATTAAGAAAAATGATTGCAATTAAGAAGAAGCGAACGTATTTTATTTAACTATAGTTCAACCAATTTATAATCATTCATCAGTAATGCATCGAAGAATCACCCAGGCGAATTGTTGTCCATCACAATCAGCCAATTAATTAATGAAACATTTGCACAACTTTATGTTCTTCATCAGATTAAATTCTACCATTAAATCTGTCAGAAATATTCCAGTTTACAATGTTTTCGTGATGTATCTCCTTTTGCTATGATTATCAGCAGAAACATCTAGCAAACTGTTTTCGATTGTTTTGGGAAAAGTGAATGTGAATATGCGATAGACATTATTTTTAAGATTCACTTGATCGTCCTTCATATTATTACAGAGCACGTTGTCAGCTTACCACAAGTGAATTCGACTTATCACTGGCCGCCATTTTAGCCTATCACATAATTCGCGATACGAACATTTCCCAACAGACATTGATCGTTCGAATAAGTTTCTCCTCAGTAGTTTTATTTGTAGTGTTGGGCTTAGTGAATGGTATTCTGTCGTTTTTAAAAAACAAACTGCGTTTGAAGTTGACTGTGGAATATACTTATTAGCTTCGTCGATGACAACGATTTTGACAATGGTTCGGTTTAGATTGAAATATTTTATTTATCCTTCGACACAAAGCTTGATGTCTCTACCGAATGAAGTGTTGCTCAAACTTCCGTGTTATTCGCTGCATTTTCTTCTCCAAATTTGTCTTTTAACGAATCAATGCTTGAATGCATATGTCGCTTGTGAACGAGCGATCACTGTCAGACAAAGTATTCGATCTATGCAGAAGAAAAGTCAGAATTTATCGAAAATAACTACTGGGTTTCTTCTGTTTTTCATCATTTTAACAACAATTCATGATCCGATTTATCGACGATTATTCAAAGAAGAGAAAACGAGAATCAAAAGCGAATTCAGTGTATTGTTAATTATTCGTTAAATCTTCAAATTCATAGTCGACTCGTGAATTCCTTTCACTTTTTTGTTTCATCTCTAATTAACTTTCTCTCATCAATTATTTTAATAACCAAAAACTCGCACCAAGAACTGCAACTTCACGAAGATCGAGCGTATCAAGAGATGTTACGTGAACAAGTTCCAAAACACAGGCAATTATTAACTGCACCTCTCACTCTGTTCCTTCTTACGTTACCTCGTTTGATTCTTTCTTATTTAACAAAATCTATGAATTTCACTTAGGATCCTTGGATATTTCTTTCGGCATATTCGATTTCATTGGTTCCGCCGATGATTACTTCCTTCATCTTCATTTTACCGTCTCAATTTTATCGACACAAATGTCAAAAATCGATTTAACACTATAAAACACGATTTCGACAAAGTCTTCATCAACCGTCATGACCGATTTGATGACCTCATCCGCTTTCTCAAATATCATTGAATTCCACTGAATTTATGAGAATGTGATTCTGAGAATAAATCCTATACTGTACAGTGGCTCACCATGTGACGTTTTCGATCCGGATATTTCTTAATAGCTATCGAGTGTTTCCATTAGTGACTGGGATTTAAGTATTCGGGAAATACAGCATCCCTTTAATATTCATTTACACAAAAATACTCGAATTTTATTCAGATCAGGATTTTTGATTAAAATAGCTTTTTTACCACATAAAAGATTACTTTTAAGCATACGAGGAATCTAGTTGAGGGTGATTATGCGAGGATAAAGGTGCATATATGGTGTTCAAGCAAAAATTTCAAAAGAAAAATAAATTTGTAAATGCATTACATGTATCATATTACTATAACATATACGGGCTAACTTTAGGATATTTTTATCCATACACTAAACTGTGAATTAGCGTTAGTTGCTGGCGAATGATTAGAACATTGACGAAGATAGCAAGCTGGAACCGTAGGACTAAAATTCATTCCATTACATGCAGATTGTGCGTCGCATGACGCTTGACAAGCCACGAGATTAGTACCATTGCCGGTTCCAACATTAGGACACGCAGAGTCAGGAATAGTTGCATTAGATGCATATAGAGTCCATTGAGTTGAAGCTAAAATAAAAAAAGTATGCTGTTTTTAATACGCTCATTCATTTTATTCTGGCTGGAAACCAATCCAAGTATATTCGAAAAGCAGCACAACTTTGAAAAGGTAAGAGGTTTCGTGAGGAGAAACAATTGCAATCTGAAGACGATCTTTCCAGATTTTTGAAAGAACAAATTCTTATCTAGCTTTTCTACTCCTCACATAGATCGAAATGATACTAGAAGTCCTAGTGGATTTCGTAGACTACTTTGCATGTACACCACAGCTTTCCTTCAAAACCTCATTTGAAAGATTTGATGCATTACAGAGTTCTCCGGGAAATTCACTTTGTTTCAGGTAATGCTCATTATAGAAATGACCTGGGACATCATCTCCGTAATAGAGAGTTTCCGGAAGTTCATTCTCTTAACGCGTTTCATACAATTTTCGGACAATCGCGATAACGCATCATATGATTTGAAATATAAAATAGACTATAGACGCCATAGTACGCCAGAATAGTATGATATATGTGCGGCATCATAGCAAAATAGACGGACTTACCTGGAGGTATTTTTAGCCACGCATTATATACTGAATTGACGTTAGTAACTGGCGAATAATTAGGACATTGACGAAGATAGCAAGCTGGAACCGTAGGACTAAAATTCATTCCATTACATGCAGGTCGTACGTCGCATGACGCTTGACAAGCCACGAGATTAGTACCATTGCCGGTTCCAACATTAGGACACGAAGTATCAGGAATAGTTGCATTAGATGCATACAGAATCCATCTAGTCGTGGCTGAAATGAAAGATATCAATTATACACTAATAGTGAACTGTCAAATCATTTTTTACGTAAATTCTCTAAGCCATATCTATATTCTTTATAGGCTGATGCGCACGCCAAAAGGTACTCATAATTACACTGTGATCTGCTGTTCTTTCACCTGTTCAAACACACAATACTATCAGAGACAAACCGTACACAGATAGTGCATAGGGAAAGACCCCGTCCGAAAAAAAGAGCACATCCTGTTCTACTACGTAAGGGTAGGTAACGAGATTCCGGTTGTAGATCATATACCCAGGTGGGTGGATACAAAAAACATTTTAAGTTTTGCCACAAGGTGTTTTCATAAAAACAGGCTGTTTATGAAGTTTGACCAATGTTGGCGGTGAATTCGCGAAATAAAATACCCCAATGGCTTGTAAAGATATGCTACACTTTTGGGATAGCGTATCCTGATATATGGCGTGTCGTATGCCTCCTGCTAACGTTATGACAAATCAGCACTCTTGCTACAATAAATGAGAAAAAAACAAACATCTGTCGAGAGTTTTTTTATATACGAAATCACTGTTACAATGACTGCGTCTATACCGATTTTTAAAAAATCCTAGCAAAAAACGTCTGACTTTTCTCTTTAGCGTTATATAGTAAATTATGATAACTTCTAAAAACTAAAGAAGCTTCCGTATGAGCTCGTGTTAAATTTTATCGTACTGCTTAGTACTGAAGTTTATCCTGAATCAGATTAACATATTATTGCTAATTCGTCGTCACGATGACTCACACATTGCAAAAATAGAATTCTTGTATTGTCTCAACCGACTGTTGAAAATCACAAATATATAATTCTTTGCTTTTTGAGTGTATCATATCTTGGAGTGTACAATATCTGCTTCATATGAATTTTCATATTTACGTTTTGATTTAAAGGAACGATACTCAGTTAATGTGGTAACGCTGTTGAGATTTTGGAATGGGAATAGTTTATGGTTTGTTCTCCTGCAGATCTCAACAATGGCATTTTCAGAATTATGAAACAATTTTTGAATAGTACACAAAAAGTTTTTTATGATGAAATCTTCATAAATATAAAACGCACTCAACTTACCGCTAATAGTGGTGGAGCTGGTACTGCTGGTACTGCTGGTGGAGCTGGTGCTGCTGGTGGAGTTGGTACTGCTGGTGGAACTGGTACTGCTGGTTGAGCTGGTGCTACCGGTGGAGCTGGTACTGCTGGTGGAGCTGGTGCTAGTGATGCTGCTGGTGTTACTGATGCTGTTGATGGAGCTTGTGGTTGTAGAAGGAACTACGGCGTATCCTATAACAGTCCGCAAAAAATGAATTAGCGTATCCACATTTCCTGACTACAGGATGATAGTAAAAGCGGTTATTCGCGTCGTTTTTATTTCAGAGATAAATCTCAATTTGTTTATTCGAAAACAGCAGAAAAAATGTAGTAAAATGATTTTAAAAAACAGGCGAACAATGATGTGAAGGTACGTTGTACACATATCTGCAACAACGTTATTTGCTACTCTTTTTACTATCTGCGTGAGTTTTATTGTATAAGAAACTTTCAAGTGAGAAGAGCAATGAATGATAAGTCGTCGTCGGCTGTATGAAGTCACTTATCTCAACGTCACAACTTATGATATAGATGCATACTGTGAAAAGGAAAACAACTGCTGTTTATGGCATGGCTATCCGCTGGAAAATTCCAAGAGAAACGTGTTGTCAACAATTAAATTGCTGAAAGCTAGACGCATATCAGCTGTATGAAGATATTATTTGTACCGCTCATCCACAATAGTTTCAAATTGTATTAATATTATTGGTTTTCTCAATACTATTCTCTACATTCTAAACAATTATACTGACCAGAGGGTATGCGTGTTCCATTGATAACTATCATAGTAACAGTATTCAAATTAACTGATAGGTTGCCAATTGTTTGAGATATATTAGCAAGTAATTCACAATTTGAAGTAACTTTATGAAAAGTAGCTGCTTCGCAAGGAGTTCGAGTCAAGCATTTGATTTGACAATCGAGAATATCTAATGCAATGAACGTCAGAAATGGAAAACAAGTTGTGTTAGAGCATTGAAGTTGATGATCATTTGTTATCGACATCGCCAAAGAATTGATATTCTGCGCATTTGCTTGTGCAATAAAAGTAAACACATACAATAAAGATATTTTAAACATGCATATGTCTAACAAGGCCTCCAAGTGAAAATGAAATGGTACGTGTTCTCAAAAGCAAAAAAATTACTAATATTTTTTCTTTTTCTTCTATTAAGTAATGAAAACTATTTATAACTCTTTTGTTGCGCATATAATCAATGAATTGTTTTTTTCAACAGCAAACAATGATGTTTTGCTACGTACTGCGAGAAACTATCTATTATACCTAAGAAAAATTCTCTTCGTTTTTCCACTGTGAAAATCAAAGGTTAAAATTCGAATACAATTTGCTCTGATTACGGCGAATAAAAATTCATTGGGCGCTATTTTGAGTTCGAGCGATGCATATTCGATATGGTACGTATCTTTTCCCATTTTCTCCCTTTTCTTGTTTGCTGTAATATACATAATAGGTGTCTTGAAATACGCCATTTCAACAAATAAAAAAGTCTAGATGCGGATGGTTTCTAATAAACACAACATACAGTAACTAAGAAAAAGTACATCATATTTGTGCTCGAGAGATCCTCAACAGCCAACCAAAATCATTCAAATGTTTTTGACTAGAAATACGTATTATGACAATCGAGATCACTATGAATAGAAGAAATAGTGTAAAATGAAGATTTATTTCATAGATTCGTCTATATTGACTATTCAATATATACAGAACGAGTAACCATACTAACTATTTTAGGACTGTATGGCACTGTGCAATAGCGATGAGAGATAGCTACATGCATTGTGTAATGAAGAGAAACACGTAAGTTTAGAGTCCATTGCTTGTCGTCTGGAAGTAATTCAACAGATGTGTGACAAATATGCTATTGAATGCCATACAAGAAGAGATCTATCATTTTGAGGCTCTGAGTGAATATACGCGATGAGAGTGTAGGAGTATCCTCACCCATATGCATTTAGACACCACGCTTTTAAGACAATATAAAGTTTCTTTCTGCAACTTCTTCATACGTTATTGTTGTGCCATTCCCATACGATTGATCTTACACAAAGAAATAGACCTTTGTATCGACAATTTCGCCTGTTTTTCGAGTATGTCTTTGCTTTATAGAAAAACAAAATATTCGATTGTTGAAGATCAGCGATCAGCGATCAACATCAACTTCAGGTACTAAAAAGTTGAATCAGTTCATTTAGTAATCTAGAAATATTAGTATTCAAGTCCATCAATCTCGTACTCGGACTTGTGAACCTGTTTGTGTTTTCAATTAATAAATAACTCTGAGAATACACAGTACTCTGAGTGTGAGCTTATGAAGTCTATACCCGCAAATACATCGTCAGATGAATTTGAATAGATTTTTTAAATGATATATATTAAGTGATATTTTTCATTGAGAAATTCGAATTTCAAAAAAAATCTTATAATCAAAATGACATTAGAAAGATCTACGTCTGTCACATCGTGCGCCGACATCACCTTCACCTTCAAAGAGCGCACATTCTTCGTAATTGACAGCACACTTTTGCATACAATATTCAATGTCACAAGAATCAAGAGGAAAATCACCTTGAAATGTTGCTTTGCAACCACTTCCCATGCAGCATGTGCAACTGCATATACTTTCTTCAAGTGATGCTGCCAAACTAATAATATTAACCATGATAAAGAGAAAGAAAATAATTCTTTGGTTCATCTCTGAAACAAACCTCCGGTTAAGAAAATACAAAAAAGAACTAAAACATACTCAAACTGCTTCAGAATAATGTTTTGTGCTTTTTTCTTCATGCCTTTCAGTGCGCTTTTATACGGTTCATTTTTAATCCTTTGTTTGATAACAATTAGCAATATCATTGTCAGATAATGGCGTCATTAATTGCTTTTCTCTTTAATATTGATAAATATATCCAATGACGAAGAATTTTTGACGCGTCTCATTTTTCTTCTTAAGTTTTTTTAATATTTTTATCGAAGATTAGCAAATATGGATAATATTTATTGAAAAACTGAAAATGGATACTCGTATACTGTTTCAATGTTGGTAAATTTTGCACAAAGCGTCTTGCCATTCGATCGTATCCCTTTCTGAACCAACCTTAAAGCATTCATGAAATATTTTTACGATAAATAATCACGCAAAGCCAATCGTTATTGATGTATGGCTCATACAGTTCTTTAAAAGAAGAGTTATGGCGACAAACAGTAATTAACACCTACACCTTACAAGTACATGTATCGCATTTGACACGATTGCTTTCGATGAGAAATAATTAGATAGAATGTATTGCAGCAGTGTCAAATACGCAAAATTTATAAAAGAAAACAATTTTCTTTCACGGAAAATGACACGCCTCTTTTGAGAGGTCAATTATTTTTTATTTCGAACTTAGATTTCCAGAAAAATACTGCGATCAAAATAATAGCATTATGATTTATGATTTGCAACGACCACCTACGTGGCCAATTTCTGTAGAAAGTGAACATTCCTCGTATTTTGCACTGCAGTGTTCCACACATCGGGATATATAACAAAATTTAAGATGAATATCACCTTGAAATGTTGGTTCACATCGACGTCCTGTACAACAGGTGCAACTACATGTACCTGGACCGACTGATTGTGTCAAACAAATAAGAGTAGCTATGGTGACGAGATATAGAAGAATTTTTCGATTCATATCTAAATAAGCCATTCATTAAAATAATACAAAAAATTCGACGATGAAACATACTGAAGTTGTTGCTAGGTAGGGTTTGGTACTGGTTTCAAGCATTTTCTTAGGTTTTATAGGACTTACTCCCTGTTTGTTCGTCTAATCTTTTATTTGACAAAACTTAGATGCGTCACTGTAAGAGTATGCCATCACTCATTTCTTTTCTTTAAAGATGTGAATATCGAATTACAATATGATTGAGAATAGCTGTTAATGGAATGCATCTTGAGGGTGGATACACCTGTTGAGAGCGAAGAAAGATTCTCACCTATATCTATTCACACATCACACTCTCAACTTCGTATATCATTATTTCCTTTTCGTTTCTTTCTTCAAGTTATTAATACGTCATCGTTGCGCTCTTTTCCCAATCCCTATCCATTATTTATATTAATAATACACGTTGTTTTTTGCTGATACGAAAAGAAAGCATCCTCACTTCTCGAATACTCGAATTGAAGTTTCGAATTATACATATATGTCCATTTGTCCATTATTCCCTTCGTCAGTCTGATCATCATTTCGATTCACTCTTGCGAACACCACTGCTTCCGTTCTATGTTATGATTTGTGATACAACAAAATATTACATACATATGTCTGGGTGTATTCCAAATCTGATCACATTTGTTTCAGGTGGAACTGGACGAAATCTATCGGTTCCAATCACAAAAAACTTCTCACCCACCTTCACCGTCAACTAACCACTTTGTGATAAAATTGATTTTGTAAGTCTGAAAAGCCACTTAGATCTATTATGTGTTCTACATTTAATAGTTTTGCGCTGACATAAAATAATTTGAACAATAATTTCTCAAAAAATGCTATTTCAAAAGAGGATGACAAGTAAAATGCAATTTGCGAAATAAACTTATCATTTTTCTGTCACAATATGTTCTTTAATAAAGTCCACTGGCTGATACTTGACAACAAATTCTTTCTATAGCACTCTTTTTTCAATTAAAAAACCTTTCGAGAATATTTCCTCTACTAAATTTCTATTTTCTTTTTCTTATAAAGCGCACGACAGTCGACTCTTTTTTATTAACTACTTCATACTAAATAACTCGCTCTTTTTCACAAAAAAAATGATCAACATTGTTCTTCTTTTCTTTCAAATCCGCTTATCGATCTGCGCAATTTCGCTTACAAAATATGACAATAGTCAGTTTATTCCCAATGCCAATTCGTATTTTCTCAATAATTTCCAAGTTTCATCCCAATATGAATGCATTTGTCGTTGCTATGCAGCGCCAAATTGCTTAACAGTGACCTTGTTTGGAATAAACGGAACTTGTTCTTTATATTCATCGCAAATTCAACTCGGATCGTTACGATTGACGATGTATACAGCAAATTCTGCTGTTATTTCTTTTCCGGATCGAATTTCAAGTAAACTTCGTATGTTTTACAAAAGATAGATTTTTGTTTTCCTTTTTAGCAACAACGTCCACGTCGACTTATACAAGTAAAATATTCCTTTTTTTTAATCCAATCGGGTTGAGATCGTTTCTACGTCAATTAAATTAAGTGTAGACTGCGCAGTAGTTAGTATTCCGCGGAAATGCCCAGAGACTATTTTGAGAAGATCACTTCTTCGAACAAAGAGAAGAAGAAATGCATTTTTGCTTATTTTTAGCAACAACAAATGCTTACTGTGGATCTACCTGCCTTAATACAACAGTGTCAAGATTATCCTCAGTTGCATTTTACACATTTGACAATAGCACACTTGACAGTGTCGGTAATTATTCGATGAAAGGAAATTTCACACCGAGCTACGTGCCTGGTTGGATTGGTTCAGCTATCAATTTCACACATAGTTCACAGTATCTTTCCACGACACATATTCCATTAGATTCGCGTTCATTCACAATCGACTTCTGGTTTTATGCAACGGATTTGACGAGTTTCACAGATTTCGGTTTTGCTGGTGAATGTGATTCATCGTCAACCGATCAGTGTTTATTACTTAATATTCGGAATAGGAAACTTCGTCTAGTGTTTTTTTCTGATGACACTGCTGGTACGAAAAACTTGGCTGAAAATAAATGGTACCATGCAACATTTGTCTACGATTCAACAGTTAAACAGCAGTTGATTTATTTAGACGGCGTATTGGACAATATTAATACCATTAATAATAATTTCGCAGCAACAGTGGCACCATTTACGATTGGTGGTGGGCCGATCGGTGGAGATACACAGCCATTTGTTTATTATTCGGGCTATATCGATCATTTTGGAATTACCTATCGAGTGAAAACGCCATGTGAAATCTATTTAAATGCCATCCTTTTTTGTTATTTTCCATTTGATCCAGCATCATTTCTATCTGATTCTGGACCCAATTATCTGAGTGCAACTAATTCGAATGCAACGCAAACAACTGGAAGAGTGAACCAAGGTGTACAATTCTCATCATTATCATCTTATATAACTATTAGTGGAGTTAATGTGTTGAATGCATTAAATAATCCATTCACAATCTCGATGTGGATTAAACCAATGAATCTTACTGGTGGTGGAACACTTATTCACACGTCAACACAATCTGATGGTTAACATTTTAGAAGTCTTTCTTTTGAAAGTTTCCAATGCTTTGTTTATCTTTAGGTCTGGATAGCTGTTTTGCATCGTGGGGGTTCTCTTCAAATGGTTCATTCATTGTGAACTTCCTCGATTCACTAGGCAATGCAATTCCAATGACACTCTCATCCCCGTTTCCGTTGAATCAATGGACACACGTTGTTCAAGTGTTCAATTCATCCAACGGAAACTACTTGTATATGAATGGAAATCTTGTGACGAGTGCATCATTATATGCACGTGCACCCATCGGTTCATATGTTTTTCTTGGTTCGTCGCCAGTTATTTCAAGTTCCTGCAAATCAGGATCGATTTCGATGGGTCAATTCTTTGGTGTTATTGATGAGTTTTATGTTTTTAGTCGAGCACTAACATCAACTGATATTTGCCGTTTAGCAAATCCTTGAACTCGACTTTTCTTTTATTTATTCAATCATTTGCTTTTCTTATTCTTTTCAAATAAGACTTCTTTTTTAAAGATGATCCGTAAAACTAACGTCCACCTAAGATAGCACAGTTTGACCAAGGACAGCAAGGATAAGGTTTGCAGCAGTTTTTATCACCATCCGGTCCATGAAATAAACAACATACCGCATAAGTTGTGCTGCATATATCTCGACCTGGTCTTGTTAACCGTGCTAATGAGTTACTTGCATCATAAATTTTCACCAATAGGAGGACAATAAAGAAAACGTAAATGATCGACTTCATTTCAAATATTTTTTCACCAAATAATCGATTATTGTGTGTGATGTATATAGAAGAAAATATCCTCCATGTGGTCCACTCTCCCGTCGTGCTGAATCATAAAACGAAAATGTAGGTTATCTTAATTTTGAAATCAAACATTGCTTTCATCATTTGCACTAGAAAAAATGGCATTATTTTCTGATCGACATGGCGCTGTGTTTGACATTTTAATTCGTACTGAAAGAAAAACTAACTATGATATGTAAAAGTAGATTTATTCATTACTTCCGCGAAGTAAATCATTTCGACATTATCACAATATGCACTCATTTGCGGAAAGATCCATTCTTAATACTAGTGACGAATAGTCTGCAATTATGCCTTTCATTATCGAAACGTTGTTTTGCAAAGAACATTCGTCTCGTTCATGTTTCTTTCATCGATGCCGAGATGTGGCGGTCTTAGTCGAAATGGAAGTATGACTTTCTCTCATTTCTCTGTCAAACTTCGAGGTGGAACGGAACGGATTCTCAGTTAGTTCTCACTTGTGATTAAGCCAAATTTGAACACGACTAGCGACGTAGAAGACATTCTTCTTCGAATACAAACGTTGATCTACAGTGCGTTAGGTTTAATTCCGAACATGTTCAACATAATAACTTTGTCACAACGTACTCTTCGCACCTTCGTCTTGTACGCAATATTTCCTAGCGCTGAGCTTTATCCAGTTTGTTGATTCTAAGTTCTTCGATTTCTGACTGCTTCCTTTCCGTTCGCGTCATACGATTTTTAAAATTCTGACATCTGTCGATCTTTTCTTCGTATTGTCATATTCAACTTGTATTCGGTCGTTTAGTCAAGTATCTGTAGCACAACGTGTGATCTTCACTTCATCGATGTACTCTATCTTCCTGGTGTTGCCATTTGTATTCAGTCAACAAAGTTAGCAGCACATCTTTTTATAATAAATACTTTTATTCATCCTAAATTTATTGGCCTATTTTGCGCATGATCGTCTTTGGTACACTAACCGTTTCTAATATTCGAAGACGACGTCATCGCATCGCTCCAGCAATGAACCAGCATCGTCAGACGGAGCGACAGTCGGCTTTCATGCTCATTAGTCAAGTGTACACTTTAACGCTGCTCAACATACCGTTCGTTGTTGTCTTTCTTTTGTGTATATTCCTATCAGAAGAACAAGCAATGAATTCGTCAATTGGATCAGCTCTCATCATTACTAACTTGCTATAGAGTGGCCATGATACAGTGTCATTCTTCTTGTATACACTGACATCAAGTTTTTATCAAAAAGAGTTCACGAGAATCCTTTTCAGATGCTAAACACGATTATGACTTCCGATCGGGTATTTTGAGCACTTCTTTGTATCAAATTTTATTTTGAATGTATGAATTTGTTTTCCATCAGACTAATTCCACTCCGTAGAAAAGAGTAAGTTTAGAAGAGAGTGCTCACACACATTCTACTATCGAGTCTCAAGCAAACATTAAATTAAAAACCTTTCAATGAGATCAAGAGGTAGAGAAGAGTGAGAATTTGGACGTGTAGTTTTGATATTTATTCCACACATCTTCATCCTCAAGTAATGATTAAATTCAACTCTCAAGTTTGCATACGTCATTGATGATAAGAATGACTTAATGTTCTCCATTTATCAAACAGCATTTAAACACTGAAAAGATCTACACTGTCAACGGTAAAAAGGAAAAAATCTTTACGTTTTGGTCTGCCACCGTCAAATAACCGCCCAGCTTACACTCGTATATACAATACACGTGGAGAAAAGAAACGAGTTTTACATTTTCTCTTACCTTTGATTTCACATTCCTATAATTATCGGAGCTCCATACATCCAGCACAATGCTCGACGAGACTTCGGCGAAACTCCAACACCAATCACACATCGTTCAAAATTACATTATCGCTTGGTTTGATCCGCACACTGAGGACGATGTTCAATATCGTCAAAACACAATATCTGAACTTCGTAATGTCGTCAATTCAATCAATATATTCAACGATATTGATCAATGTATTGATTTTGTCACTGATATCGAACAAGAAAGAGTCTTCATGATTGTATCGAACTGTTCGACACAACAACTCATGATAGTCATTCATGATCTCTCACAAATTAATTCAGTTTATGTTTTTGACTACAATCGAACAGAATCTAGACCGTCTACTAAACAATGGACAAAAACGAGAGGGCCTTTTACTGACATCAATGAATTATGCGAATCCATTAAGTTAGACGCCCGTCGCTGTGATTATAACATGGCATCTATCAGTATCATACGCACAGCACAATCACTAGATCGTGGCTTGGATGAACTTGATCAGTCATTTATGTATTCCCAACTGTTGAAAGATATTCTTCTGGATATGGATCATGGAGAAGATGCCAAACAAATTTTCGCTGACTTTTGTCGTCAACGACATCATGACAATGTCGCACAGCTCAACATCATCAATGAATTCGAACGAGAATACCGCATGCATACACCTATCTGGTGGTACACACGAGATTGCTTTTTATATTGTATGCTTAACAAAGCTCTTAGAACTCAACAAATTGATATCATTATCAAGATGGGATTCTTTTTATGTGATGTTCATCGACAAATTGAAAAGCTACATCGAGAAACGACAACTGTCTCTGTTCCATTCATCGTTTATCGAGGACAAGGAATATCTAAGATTGAATTTGAACAACTCAAAGCAACGAAAGGTGGGTTACTAGCATTTAGTAGCTTTTTGTCTNAACTGATCAGTTGTCATCTTAATAGCATCTTGAACCAAAGCCCATTCACCAAGACAACTTTCCACTCCTATCTGCATTTTTGGTTTACCAAATTGCTTTGGTTGATCAAACGTGCCAGGACATACATCGATTAAGGGTTTCTCCTTAGATTGATACGCGAGAGGAGTACCGCACTGAGTACAGAAGATACGTCGAGCGAGCGATGAACTTTCAAATGAAGCGATGGAGCCACGTGTCCATTGAAAGTCTGTTAAGTTGAAAGCAACAAAGGCACCCGAAGGAGAACCAAGCGCTTTCTGACACATTCGACAATGGCACAAAGTAAGAGGCTGAACAGAAGGTGCAAAGATGGAATAACGAATAGCACCGCATTGGCAACCACCGGTGTAAAGTGCTGTGCGAGTATTCATCTTATAGGCGAAAACGAAATTGATTTCAACTCAATATTTGTATAGAGTAAAAATGATAAGAACAAATAAGGAAAGAAAGAGGTGAATGATGTTTTTCGAGATAAAGAAAAAGGAAAAAAAGACGACAAGGTTGCTTCTTTCGAAGTGCTATCCAATGTACCAATTGAAAATATAATCATTGCATCTTTTTAACTAGTCAAACGATACAATTCAGTTTCGCTTGTATCTAATTAGATCACTCTCTTTGTTTGAAAAACAACATGAAGAAGTTGTGAAAGGTCAATTAATCACTTCACGTCAATGTTTTTTTTCGTATGTTAACCGTATCTAAGTGCAAATAGTGTTGAAGAAAAAAGTTTTCTTTTTCAAATATTTGCGATCATTGTTACCGATCAGTGGCTTGAAATGATATCCATTGTAATCAGATCTACTAATACTATTAAATAATGTACATATTCTTGTTCGAAAAAAAAACAAATAAGAACTAGGAGTGGGCAAATTATAGGTAGAAACAACAAAAATAAGATTCATCGTGTTTTAGTTCGCAATGTTCAACGTAGAGAAAATGTCAATTAAGTGTATTATCGATACAAACATCCATAGTAATCCTTTTTCTTTAACACTTTCATTCAATCGACCAAAATTTTCTCTAAATGCAGTGTGGAATCCATCTGGTATAACTTTTATCGATGTGAACACGATCGGCGTGAATCCATCGAATATTTTTATTACTACAAACAATATCATCTGTGTTGCTCGTTATAACAATAGTCGTGTTATGATATATGGAATCAAAACAGTTCTGTACCAATCAGAAATCTCACACAGAATGTCTTAAACCCATTTAGTCTGTTTCTTTTTTACAACAGAATGTTTCCTATATATCGATAGTGGCATTCGAACTGGTAGAATTGACAAATGAACATAAAACACATGTGGAAAATACTTTGACACTTTTGTTGATACAGATGAGAATCTTTACTGTTCGATAAGAAATCAATATCAAGTACTTTCGTGAATACAAATTTCCATTTATATGTCGCCGATCGACTCACGCAATAGTTCAAGCTTAATCATATCGCTCAAAACAAGTTAATGGTATCATGGTTACAGGAAGTGGATCTATAAACATCACAATCACACTTTCACCTTTTGTTCGAATTTCTTTTTATGGCAATACTCGACCGAAAAATTTCAATCAAAATTATTCGGGTGAGAGTGACGTTTATGAGACATTCTCTCTGGAATATCGGGTAAGTTTTCTTCATCCGATTACAATTTCATTTTTACCAGTTTATCGCGTAGCACTTACAGTAAATATTCCATCTGAGAAAGATGAAAATTGCGCAGTAACTCACCTAAAATGTCAACACGGAAGATACCGAAAGTATTTCAGTACCAAAACAAATATTCTGTCAAAGTAATGAAGGATGGTCGGGCAAATCTTGCCATATTTCATACAAGTCTGCATGTTGGTCAAATTCTTTATCAATTGGTTCTTTAAGTAATAATCGATCAGTATGTGTTTGTAAAGAAAATTATTTTGGTCCAAGACGATACCTTCGGGATAGGGTTTGTGATGAATCTCCGTATTGGAACAATGGTTCATGCATTCCCTATGATACGTTGATGCAGTTTTTAACAAACGAGAAATATGCTTGTATTTGTCCGAAATGTTTTAGTGGGAAACAAGTTGAGTTAGTTGACACAAAAAATCAGTTTAATCTTTGATCAATCTCTATTTGTCTCCATCAATTTTTATTCTAATTATTCGATTTAGAAATATATTTGCTACAAATCCGACATATACACCATAAAAGATCAACAAATTCCATTCGAATTTACTAGCCCAGACCTTTTTATTTGACATTTATCGAAACATTAGATAACGTATCGGCTACTTCTTAATTGTGGCCACTTTACTTAATTAATTAATTAAAAGTGACCGCATTTGAGAATAGGGTAGATAAACGAAAGAAAAATAAGTGTATATAGATATCATGAAGATTAGAGAGAAAAGTGAGATTTTACTCATTGGTAGGCATATAGTCCTCATCATCTGTTTCTGCCTAATCGTAAATATGAATAGAACGATAAGATATAGCACGAACTCGTTTCAGATAATTACTATTGTGAACCATTTTTGTTTGATCGTCTAAGACCGAATAGATATTTCTCATACAAGATTCCTTCGCAATCTGATTGCGTAGTCAATCGACTAAGACTTTTACCATTCGTTGACATCTTTTCACTCGAATAAACCTAGCCCGTTACGACTAAGGATGCGCTATATAAGGTTGCAGATGCAGGAAAATTTCCATCTGTGATAAGTGGAAACATCTCTAGTGCAACTGAAGATCAGCCAAAAGGATATACGTAGGTAGTTTCAATAATGTCGTGCGCGAAGAAAGGAAAGAAACACATACATATATGATATGATCATACATAGAACAAAGATGAAAGAAAAAAGAAAAGCATAGAAGCATGATTGTACAAACGATTCTTTTGATTGGATTATTTATTGTTAAATTGCGGTTATTTTTCAATTAGAAGAATTTTTATTTGTTTACCCTATTCTCGAATGCGATCACTTTTAATAAACTAATTAAGAAAACTGACCGCAATTAAGAAGAAGCGAACGTATTTTATTTAAACACAGTTCAACCAATTTATAATTATTCATCAGTAATACATCGAAGAATCACTCTGGCAAATTGTTATCCAACAATCAGCCAATTAATTAATGAAACATTTGCACAAATTTATGTTCTTCATCAGATTAAATTCTACCATTTAATCTATCAGAAATATTCTAGTTTACAATGTTTTCGTGATGATGCTCATCTTTCTTCCTGCTATGATTATCAGCAGAAACATCTAGCAAACTGTTTTCGATTGTTTTGGGAAAAGCGAACGTGAAAATGATGGGCATTATTGTCAAGATTCACTTGATTGTCCCAAACAGTCTATGTGTTTGTCCTTGATATTATTATAGAGCATGTTGTCAGCCTATCACATAATTCGTGATACGAACATTTCCCAAACAGATATTCATCGTTCGAATAAGTTTCTCCTGAGAAGTTTTATTTGTAGTGTTGGGCTTAGTGAATGGTATTCTGTTGTTAATTGCATTTAAAAAACAAATTGCGTTTGAAGTTGACTATGGAATATACTTATTAGCTTCGTCGATGACAACGATTTTGACAATGGTTCGGTTTAGATTGAAATATTTTATTTATCCTTCGACACAAAGCTCGACGTCTCTACCGAATGAACTGTTGCTCAAACTTCAGTGTTATTCGCTGAGTTTTCTTCTCCAACTTTGTCTTTTAACGAATTAATGCTTGAATGCATATGTCGCTTGTGAATGAGCAATCACTGTCAGGGAAAGTATTCGATCTATATGTATGAAGAAGAAAAGTCAGAATTTATCGAAAATAACTACTGGTTTTCTCCTGTTTTTTTTTTTATCGTTTTAACAACAATTCATGATCCGATTTATCGACGATGATTCAAAGAAGAGAAAACGATAATCAAAAGCGAATTCAGTGTATTGTTAGTTATTCTTTAAATTTTCAAATTTATAGTCGAATCGTGAATTCCTTTCACTTTTTTGTTTCATCTCTAATTAACTTTCTCTCATCAATTATTTTAATAACCAAAAACTCGCATCAAGAACTGCAACTTCACAAAGATCGAGCGTATCAAGAGATGTTACGTGAACAAGTTCCAGAACACCGGGAATTATTGACTGCACCCCTCATTCTGTTCCTTCTTACGTTACCTCCTTTGATTCTTTCTGATTCCACAAAATGTAGGAATTCCACTCAAGACCCTTGGATATTTCTTTCGGCATATTTGATTTCATTGGTTCCGCCGATGATTACTTCTTTCATCTTCATTTTACCGTCTCAATTTTATCGACACGAACGTCAAAAATCGATTTAACACTATAAAACACGATTTCGACAAAGTCTTCATCTATACCGTCATGACCGATTTGATGACCTCATCCACTTTCTCGAATATCATTGAATTCTACTGAATTTATGAGAATGTGAGTCTGAGAATAAATCCTATACTGTACAGTGGCTCACCGTGTGACGTTTTCGATCTAGATATTTCTTAATAGCTATCGAGTGTTTCCATTAGTGACTGGTATTTCATTCAGCGATGTAAGTATTCTGGGAATACAGGATCCCTTTAATATTCATTTACACAAAAATACTCGAATTTTATTCAGATGAAGATTTTTGATTAAAATAACTTTTTTACAACATAAAAGGTTGCTTTTCAACATACGAGGAATCTAGTTGAGGATGATTGTGCGAGGATAAAAGTGTATATATGGTGTTAAAGCAAAAATTTCAAAGGGAAAATAAATTTGTAAATGTATTACATGTATCACATTACTATAACATATACGGGCTAACTTTAGGATATTTTTATCCACACACTATACCCTGAAGAAGTGTAAGTTGCTGGCGAATAACTAGAACATTGACGAAGATAGCAACTCGGACCCGTAGGATTAAAATTCATTCCATTACATGCAGATTGTGCGTCGCATGACGCTTGACAAGCCACGAGATTAGTACTATTGCCGATTCCAACATTAGGACACGAAGAGTCAGGAATAGTTGCATTAGATGCATATAGCCTCCATTGAGTTGAAGCTAAAATAAAAAAGTATGCTGTTTTTAATACGCTCATTTATTTTATTCTGACTGGAAACCAATCCAAGTATATTCGAAAAGCAGCGCAACTTTGAAAAGGTAAGATGTTTCGTGAGGGGAAACAATTGCAATCTGAAGACGGTCTTTCCAGATTTTTGAAAGAACAAATTCTCATCTAGCTTTTCTACTCCTCACATAACCCGAAATGATACCTGAAGTGCTAGTGGATTTTGTAGACTACTTTGCATGTATGTCACAGCTTTCCTTCAAAACCTCATTTGAAAGATTTGATGTGTTATAGCGTTTTCCGGGAAATTCACTTTGTTCCAGGTAATGCTCGTTATAGAAATGACCTGGGATATCATCTCCGTAATGGAGACTTTCCGGAAATTCATTCTCTTAACACGTTTCATACAATTTCCGCGCAATCGCCATAACGCATCATATGGTTTGAAATATAAAATAGACTATAGACACTATAGTACGCTAGAATAGTAGTTATATCTGCGACATCATAGTAAAATAGACGGACTTACCTGGAGGTATTTTTAGCCACACATTATACCCTGAATAGGTGTTAGTTGCTGGCGAATAATTAGGACATTGACGAAGATAGCAACTCGGACCCGTAGGATTAAAATTCATTCCATTACATGCAGGTTGTGCGTCGCATGACGCTTGACAAGCCACGAGACTAGCACTATTGCCGGTTCCAACATTAGGACACGAAGAGTCAGGAATAGTTGCATTAGTCGCATACTGAATCCATCTAGTCGTAGCTGAAATGAAAGATATCAATTATACACTAATAGTGAAATGTCAAATCGCTTTTTACGTAAATTCTCTAAACCATATTTGTATTCTTTATAAGCTGATGCGCACGCCAAAAGGTACTTATAATTACACTGTGATCTGCTGTTCTTTCACCTGTTCTAACACACAGTACTATCAGAGATAAATCGTACACAGACAGTGCATAGAGAAAGACCCCGTCCGAAAACAAGAGCACATCCTATTCTACTACGTAAGGGTAGGTAACGAGATTCCGGTTGTAGATCACATACCCAGGTAGATGGATACACAAACATTTTAAGTTTTGCCACAAGGTGTTTCCATGAAAACAGGCTGTTTATGAAGTTTGATTAATGTTGGCGGTGAATTCGCGAAATAAAATACCCCAATGACTTATAAAGATATGCTACACTTTTGGGATAGCGTATCCTGATATATGGCATGCCGTATGCCTCCTGCTAACGCTATAACAAATCAGCACTCTTGCTACAATAAATGAGAAAAAACAAACATCCATCGAGAGTTTTTTTATATACGAAATCACTGTTACAATGACTGCGTCTATACCGATTTTTAAAAATCCTAGCAAAAAACGTCTGACTTTTCTCTTTAGCGTAGTAGATTATGATAACTTCTAAAAACTAAAGAAGCTTCTGTATGAGCTCGTGTTAAATTTTATCGTACTGCTTAGTACTGAAGTTTATCCTGAAACAGATTAACATGTTATTGCTAATTCGTCGTCACGATGACTCACACATTGCAAAAATAGAATTTTTTATACTGTCTCAACCGACTGTTGAAAATCACAAATATATAACTCTTTGCTTTTTGAGTGTATCATATCTTGGAATGTACAATAGCTGCTTCATATGAATTTTCATATTTACGTTTTGATTTAAAGAAACGATACTCAGTTAATGTGGTAACGCTGTTGAGATTTTGGAATGGGAATAGTTTATGGTTTGTTCTCCTGCAGATCTCAACCATGTCATTCTTAGAATTATGGAACAAGTTTTGAATAGTACACAAAAAGTTTTTTATGATGAAATCTTCATAGCTATAAAACGCACTCAAATTACCGCTAATAGTAGTGGAGCTGGTGCTGCTGGTCCTAGTGGTGCTACTGGTGGAGCTGGTGCTGCTGGTGGAGCTGGTGCTACTGGTGCTGCTGGTGCTACTGGTGCTACTGGTGCTGCTGGTGGAGCTGGTGCTACTGGTGGTGCTGCTGGTGCTGCTGGTGGAGCCGGTGCTGCTGGTGGAGCTGGTGCTACTGATGCTGCTGGTGTTACTGATGCTGTTGATGGAGCTCGTGGTTGTAGAAGGAACTACGGCGTATCCTATAACAGTCCGCAAAAAATGAATTAGCGTATCCACATTTCCTGACTACAGGATGATAGTAAAAGCGGTTATTCGCGTCGTTTTTATTTCAGAGATAAATCTCAATTTGTTTATTCAAAAACAGTAGAAAAAATGTAGGAAAATGATTTTAAAAAACAGGCGAACAATGGTGTGAAGGTACGTTGTACACATATCTGCAACAATGTTATTTGCTACTCTTTTTACTATCTGCGTGAGTTTTATTGTATAGGAAGCTTTCAAGTGAGAAGAGCAATGAATGATAAGTCTTCGTCGGTTGTATGAAGTCACTTATCTCAACGTCACAACTTATAATATAGATGCATACTGTGAAAAGGAAAACAACTGCTGTTTATGGCATGGCTATCCGCTGGAAAATTCCAAGTGAAACGTGTTGTCAACAATTAAATTGCTGAAAGCTAGACGCATATCAGCTATATGAAGATATTATTTGTACCGCTCATCCACAATATTTTCAAATAGTACTAATATTATTGGTTTCTCAATAATATTCTCTACATTCTAAACAATTATACTGACCAGAGGGTATACGTGTTCCATTGATAACTATCATAGTAACAGTATTCAAATTAACTGACATGTTGCCAATTGTTTGGGATATATTAGCGAGTAATTCACAATTTGAAGTAACTTTATGGAAAGTAGCTGCTTCACAAGGAGTTTCAGTCAAGCATTTGATTTGACAATGGTGAATATCTAATGCAATGAACGTCAGAAATGGTAAACAAGTTGTGTTAGAGCATTGAAGTTGATGATCATTTGTTATCGACATCGCCAAAGAATGGATATTCTGTGCATCTGCTTGTGCAATAAAAGTAAACACATACAATAAAGATATTTTAATCATGTCTATGTCTAACAAGGGCTCGAAGTGAAAATGAAATGCTACGTGTTCTCACGAGCAAAAAATCACTAACATTTTTTCTTTTTCTTCTATTAAGTAATGAAAAATATTTATAACGTCGGTTGTTGCGCACATATAATCAATGAATTTTTGTTTCAACAGCAAACAATGATGTTTTGCTACGTAATGCGAGAAACTATCTATTGTGCCTAAGAAAAATTCTCTTCGTTTTTCCACTGTGAAAACCAAAGATTAAAATTCGAATACAATTTGCTCTGATTATGGCGAATAAAAATTCATTGGGCACTATTTTGAGTTCGAGCGATGGATATTCAACATGGTACGTACCTCTTTTCCCATTTTCCCCTTTTCTTGTTTGTTGTAATATGCATAATAGATGCCTTGAAATACGCCATTTCAACAAATTAAAAAGTCTGGATGCGGATGGTTTCTAATAAATACAACATACAGTAACTAATAAAAAGTACATCATATTTGTACCTGAGAGATTCTCAACAATCAACCAAAATCGTTCATATGTTTTTAACTAGAAATACGTATTATGAAAATCGAGATCACTCCGAATAGAAGAAATAGTGTAAAATGAAGATTTATTTCATAGATTTGTCTATATTGACTATTCAATATATTCAGGACGAGTAACCATACTAACTATTTTAGAACTGTATGGCACTGTGCAATAGCGATGAGAGATAGCTGCATGTATATGTATTTTGTAATGAAGAGAAACATGCAAGTTTAGAGTTCATTGATTGTCGTCTGGAAGTAATTCGACAGATGTGTGACAAATATGCTATTGAATGCCACACAAGAAGAGGTCTACCATTTTGAGACTCTGGGTGAATATACGCGATGAGAGTGCAAGAATATCCTCACCCATATGCATTTAGACATGAGGCTCTTAAGATCATAAAAAGTTTCTTTTTCATTTCTTTCTGCAACTTCTTCATACGTCATTGTTGTGCCACTCCCATACGATTGATCTTACACAAAGAAACAGACCTTTGTATCGACAATTTCGCCTGTTTTTCGAGTATGTCTTTGCTTTATAGAAAAACAAAATATTCGATTGTTGAAGATCAGCGATCAACATTAACTTCAGGTACTAAAAAATCGAATCAGTTCATTAAGTAATCTAGAAATATTAATATCCAAATCCATCAATCTCGTACTCGGACTTGTGAACCTGGTTGTGTTTTCAATTAATGAATAAATCTGAAAATACACAGTACTCTGAGTGTGAGCTTATCAAGTCTATATCCGCAAATACATCATCAGATGAGTTTTAATAGATTTTGTAAATGATATATTTTAAATGATATTTTTCATTGAGAAATTCGAATTTCAAAACAAAAATCTCATAATCGAAATGATATTAGAAAGATCGACGTTTGTCACATCGTGCCCTGACATCACCTTCACCTTCAAAGAGTGCACATTCGTCGTAATTGACAGCACACTTTTGCATACAATATTCGATGTCACAAGAATCAAGAGGAAATTCATCTTGAAATGTTGCTTTGCAATTGTTTCCCTTGCAGCATGTGCAACTGCATATACTTTCATCAAGTGATGTTGTCAAACTAATAATATTAACCATGATAAAGAGAAAGAAAATAATTGTTTGGTTCATCTCTGAAACAAATCTCTGGTTAAGAAAGTACAAAAACGAACTAAAACATACTCAGACTGCTTCAGAATAATGTTTTGTGCTTTTTTTCAAACCTTTCATCGCGCTTTTATACGGCTCATTTTTAATCCTTTGTTTGATAACAATTAGCAATATCATTGTCAGAGAACGGCGTCATTAATTCCTTTTCTCTTTAATATTGGTAAATATATCCGATGGCGAAGAATTTGTGACGCGTCCAAGGGGGAAAAAGCGAGACTTCATCTAATTCAGATAGTATTTGAAGTATCGCTAAAGTACCAGTGGAGTAGTTGAAGTATGAAGTCTCGCGTTTTCCCCCTTGGACGCGTCTCATTTTTCTTCTTCAGCTTTTTCAATATTTTTATCGAAGATTAACAAATATGGCTAATATTAACCCTTTACGGCCGGATGGTACCTAGGCGGTAACAATTTTGCCGTAGGGGGGGTACGGCATTCTCCAAAAATTCGGGGCTGAAAAATTGATCCCCATAACTAAACTAACAAGAATATATATAAAGATAATCTTTTGCTTGCTGTTTTCTGATAGCCGACCGTAAAGGGTTAATTGAAAAAATGAAAGTGGATACTCATGTACTGTTTCAATGTTAGTAAATTTTACAGAAAGCGTCTTGCCATTCGACCGTATCTTTTTCTAAACCGCCCTTAAAGCATTCATGAAATATTTTTACGATAAATAATTACGTAAAGCCAATCGCTATTGATATATGGCTCATACATTTCTTTAAAAGAAGAGTTATGACGACAAACAGTAATTAACATCTAGACCTTACAAGTATATTTATCGCATTTGACACCATTGCTTTCAATGAGAAATAATTAGATAAAGTGTATTGCAGCAGTGTCAAATATGCAAAATTTTCAAAAGAAAACCATTTCTTTCACGGAAAATGGCACGTCTCGTTTGAGAGGTCAATCATTTTTTTATTTAGAACTTCGATTTTCAGAAAAATATTGCAATCAAAATAATAGCATCACGATTTATGATATGCAACGACCACCAACATGGCCAATTTCTGCAGAAAGTGAACATTCCTTGTATGTTTTACTGCAGTATTCCGCACATCGGAATATATAACAATATTGAAGATGAGTATCGCCTTGAAATGTTGGTTCACATCGACGTCCTGTACAACAGGTGCAACTACATGTACCTGGACCGACTGATTGTGTCAAACAAATAAGAGTAGCTATGGTGACGAGATATAGAAGAATTTTTCGATTCATATCTAAATAAGCCATTCATTAAGATAATACAAAAAAATCGACGATGAAACATACTGAAGTTGTTGCTATGTAGGGTTTGGTACTGTTTTCAAGCATTTTCTTAGGTTTTATAGGGCTTACTCCCAGTTTGTGCGTCTAATCTTTTATTTGACAAAACTTAGATGCGTCACTATGAGTATGCCATCATTAATTTCTTTTCTTTAAAGATGTACATATCGAATGACAACATGATTGAGAATAGCTATTAATGGGATGCAATTATGGGTGGATATACGTGTTGAGAGCGGAGAAAAATTCTCCCCTATATCTGTTTCAGTAGTGACAAACTCGAAACTTGAATTCAGCTATTCAACTATCTGTTCGGGTATTGAAGTATTCCTGGTGATCAGGCCTTCTGCAGTACCCTCACTTCTCGAAGACTCGAATTGAAGTTTCGAATTATACATATATGCCCATCATTTCGATTTACTTTTGCTAACACAACTGCTTGTGTTCTATGTTATGATTTGTGATAAACCAAAATATTACCTACGTGTGTCAGGCAGAATATGTAGAATATCTTGCACACGGATTCGACCTTTTCTTGAACGGGTTCGCATACGGGTGTATTCCAAATCTGATCACATTTGTTTCAGATAGAACTGGACGAAATCTATCGATTCCAATCAAGAAAAAATTCTCGTCCATCTTCACCCTCAATCTACCACATCCTAATAAAACTGATTTTCGGAAGTCTGAAAATCCACTCAGATCTATTATCTGCTTCAACATTTTAACAGTTTTGTGTTGACATAAAATAATTTGAACAATAACTCATCAAAAATGCTATTTCAAAATAGGGCGACAAGTAAAATGTAGTTTTCGAAGTAAACTTATCATTTTTCTGTCACAAGACGTTCTTTAATAAAGTCAGCTGACTGATACTTGACAACAAATTCTTTCTATAGCACTCGTTTTTCAATTAAAAAAGCTTTCGAGAATATTTCCTCTACTAAATTTCTGTTTTCTTTTTCTTATAAAGGCATGACAGTCGACTTTTTTTATTGACTACTTCATATTAAATAACTCGCTCTTTTCATGAGTAATATGATCAACATTGTTCTTGTTTTCTTTCAAATTCGTTTATCGATCTCCGCAATTTTGCTTACAAAATATGACAATAGTCAGTTTATTCCCAATACCAATTCGTATTTTCTCAATAATTTTCAAGTTTTGTCCCAATATGAATGTATTTGTCGTTGCTATACAGCGCAAAATTGCTTAACACTGATCTTTTTTGGAATAAACAGAACTTGCTCTTTGTATTCGTCGAAAATTCAACTCGGATCGTTACGATTGACGATGTATACAGCAAATTCTACCGTTATTTCTTTTCCCGATCGAATTTCAAGTAAACTTTGTATGTTTTACAAAAGACAGATTTTTGTTTTCCTTTTTTAGCAACAACACAAACAACTTCCACGTCGACTTATACAAGTAAAATATTCCTTTTTCTTTTATTCAATCGGGTTAAGATCGTTTCTACGTCAATTAAATTAAATGTAGACTGCGCAGTAGTTAATATTCCACGCAAATGCCAAAATATTATTTGAAGAGGATCACTCCTTCGGAGAAAGAGAAAAAGAAATGCATTTTTGATTATTTTTAGCAACAACAAATGCTTACTGTGGATCTACCTGCCTTAATACAACAGTGTCAAGATTATCTTCAGTTGCATTTTACACATTTGACAATAGCACACTTGACAGTGTCGGTAATTATTCGATGAAAGGAAATTTCACACCAAGTTACGTACCTGGCTGGATTGGTTCAGCTATCAATTTCACACATAGTTCACAGTATCTTTCCACGACACATATTCCATTAGATTCGCGTTCATTTACAATCGACTTGTGGTTTTATGCAACGAATTTGACAAGTTTTAGAGATTTCGGTTTTGCTGGTGAATGTGATTCATCGTCGACTGATCAGTGTTTATTACTTAATATTCGGGATATGAAACTTCGTTTAGTGTTTTTTTCTGATGACACAGCTGGTACGACAAATTTGACTGAAAATAAATGGTACCATGCAACATTTGTCTACGATTCAACAGTTAAACAGCAGTTGATTTATTTAGACGGCGTATTGAATAATATTAACACCATTAATAATCATTTCGCAGCAACAGTGGCACCATTTACGATTGGTGGTGGACCGATCGGCGGAGATGCACAGCCATTTGTTTATTATTCGGGTTATATCGATCATTTTGGAATTGCCTATCGAGTGAAAACACCATGTGAAATCTATTTAAATGCCATCCTTTTTTGTTATTTTCCATTTGATCCAACATCGTTTCTATCTGATTCTGGACCTAATTATCTGAGCGCAACTAATTCGAATGCAACACAAACAACTGGAAAAGTGAAACAAGGTGTACAATTCTTATCATTATCATCTTATATAACTATTAGTGGAGTTAATGTGTTAAATGCATTAAATAGTCCATTCACAATTTCAATGTGGATTAAACCAGTGAATCTTACTGGTGGTGGAACACTTATTCACACGTCAACACGATCTGATGGTTAACATTTTAGAAATCTTTCTTTTGAAAGTTTCCAGTGCTTTGTTTTCTTTAGGTTTGGATAGCTGTTTTGCCTCGTGGGGTTTTTCTTCAAATGGTTCATTCATCGTGAACTTCTTCGATTCACTAGGCAATGCAATTCCAATGACACTCTCATCTTCGTTTCCATTGAATCAATGGACACACGTTGTTCAAGTGTTCAACTCATCCAACGGAAACTACTTGTATATGAATGGAAATCTTATGATGAGTGCATCATTATATGCACGTGCATCCATCGGTTCATATATTTTTCTTGGTTCGTCGCCAGTCATTTCAAGTTCCTGCAAATCAGGATCGATTTCGATGGGTCAATTCTTTGGTGTTATTGATGAGTTTTATGTTTTTAGCCGAGCACTAACATCAACTGATATTTGTCGTTTAGCAAATCCTTGAACTCGACTTTTCTTTTATTTATTCAATCATTTGCTTTTCTTATTCTTTTCAAATAAGACTTCTTTTTTAAAGATGATCTGTAAAACTAACGTCTACCTAAAATAGCACAGTTTGACCAGGGACAGCAAGGATAAGGTTTGCAGCAGTTTTTATCACCATCCGGTCCATTAAATAAGCAACATGTCGCATAAGTTGTGCTGCACATATCTCGACCTGGTCTTGTTAACCGTGCTAATGAGTTGCTTGCATCGTAAATTTTCACTAATAGGACAACAATAAAGAAAACGTAAATGATCGACTTCATTTCAAATATTTTTTCACCAGATAATCGATTATTGTGTGTGATGTACATAGAAGAAAGTATTCTCCATATGATCCAATCTCCCATCGTGCTGAATCATAAAACGAAAATGTAGGTTATCTTCATTTTGAAATCAAACATTGCTTTCATCAGTTGCACTAGAAAAAATGTCAATATTTTCTCATCGACATGACACAGTGTTTGACATTTTAATTCGTACTAAAAGAAAAACTAACTATGATATGTAAAAGTAGATTTATTCATTACTTCTGCGAAGTAAATCATTTCGACATAATCACAATATGCACTCATTTGTGGAAAGATCCATTCTTAATACTAAGAACGAATAGTCTGCAATTATGCCTTTCATTATCGAAACGTTGTTTCGTAAAGAACATTCGTCTCGTTCATGATTCTTTCATCGATGCCGACGCGTGATACGACGGTCTTAGTCGAAATGGAAGTATGACTTTCTCTCATTTCTCTGTCAAACTTCGAGGTGAAACGAAGCGGATTCTCAGTTAGTTCTCATTTGTGATTAAGCCAAATCTGAACATGACTAGCGGCGTAGAAGGCATTCTTCTTCGAGCTTTGTTCAGTTTGTTGATTCTATCTTTCAGCCGGTAGTACAAGTCTTTCATGGGTATTTTCAGCCATCAAATATTTTGGTAAGTCCAGTTAGCTGCAAAATTCTTCGGTTTTTGACTGCTTCCTTTCCGTTCGCGTCATACAATTTTTTAATTCTGGCATCGATCGATCGTTTCTTCGTATCGTCATATTCAACTTGTATTCGGTCGTTTAGTCAAGTACCTGTAGCACAACGTGTAATCTTCACTTCATCGATGTACTCTATCTTCCTGGTGTTGACATTTGTATTCAGTCAACAAAGTTAGCAGCACATCTTTTTATAATAAGAATTTTTATTTATTCTAAATTTATTGGTCCATTTTGCATGATCGTCTTTGATACGCTAACCGTTTCTAATATTCGAAGACAACGTCATCGCATCGCTCCAGCAATGAACCAGCATCGTCAGAGGAGTGACAGTCGGCTTTCATGCTCATTAGTCAAGTGTATACTTTAACGCTGCTCAACATACCGTTCGTTGTTGTCTTTCTTTTGCGTATATTCCTATCAGAAGAACAAGCAATGAATTCGTCAATTGGATCAGCTCTCATCATTACTAACTTGCTATAGAGTGGCCATGATACAGTGTCATTCTTCTTGTATACACTGACATCAAGTTTTTATCGAAAATAGTTCACGAAAATCCTATTCAGATGCTAAACACAGTTATGACTTCCGATCGGGCATTTTGGGCACTTCTTTGTATCAAATTTTATTTTGAATGTATGAATTTGTTTTTCATCAAATTAATTCCACTCAGTAGAAAAGAGTAAATATAAGAGAGAGCGCTCACACACATCCTACTATCGAGTCTCAAAAAAACATTTAATTAAAAATCTTTCAATGAAATCAATAGGTAGAGAAGAGTGAGAATGTGGACGTGCAGTTTTGATGTTTATTCCACACATCTTCATCCTCAAGTAATGATTAAATTCAACTCTCAAGTTTGCATACGTCATTGATGATAAGAATGATGTAATGTTCTCCATTTATCAAACAGCATTTAAACTTTGAAAAGATCTACACTGTCAACGGAAAAAAGGAAAAAAATCTTTACGTTTTGGTCTGCCACCGTCAAATAATCACCCAGCTTACACTCGTATATACACGTGGAGAAAAGAAACGAGTTTTACATTTTCTCTTACCTTTGATTTCACACTCCTATAATTATCGGAGCTCCATACATTCAGCACAATGCTCGACGAGACTTCGACGAAACTCCAACACCAATCACACATCGTTCAAAATTACATTCTCGCTTGGTTTGATCCGCACACTGAGGACGATGTTCAATATCGTCAAAACACAATATCTGAACTTCGTAATGTCGTCAATTCAATCAGTATATTCAACGATATTGATCAATGTATTGATTTTGTCACTGATATCGAACAAGAAAAAGTATTTATGATTGTATCAAACTGTTCGACACAACAACTCATGACAGTCATTCATGATCTCTCACAAATTAATTCAGTTTATGTTTTTGACTACAACCGAACAGAATCTAGACTGTCTACTAAACAATGGACAAAAACGAGAGGACCTTTTACTGACATCAGTGAATTATGCGAATCCATTAAGTTAGACGCCCGTCGCTGTGATTATAACATGGCATCTATTAGTATCATACGCACAGCACAATCACTAGATCGTGGCTTGGATGAACTTGATCAGTCATTTATGTATTCCCAACTGTTGAAAGATATTCTTCAGGATATGGATCATGGTGAAGATGCCAAACAAATTTTCGTTGAATTTTGTCGTCAACAACATCAAGACAATGTCGCACAGCTCAACATCATCAATGAATTCGAACGAGAATACCGCATGCATACACCTATCTGGTGGTACACAAGAGATTGCTTCTTATATTGTATGCTTAACAAAGCTCTTAGAACTCAACAAATTGATATCATTATCAAGATGGGATTCTTTTTATGTGATGTTCATCGACAAATTGAAAAGCTACATCAAGAAACGACAACTGTCTCTGTTCCATTCATCGTTTATCGAGGACAAGGAATATCTAAGATTGAATTTGAACAACTCAAAGCAACGAAAGGTGGGTTACTAGCATTTAGTAGCTTTTTGTCTACGAGTGTCGATCGTCGATTATCGATTCTTTACGCTGAAAGTGCTGCACAGGATTCAGATCTGAATGGTATTCTTTTCGAGATAAGTGTTGATCCCACTTGCACATCGACTGCATTCGCATCGTTGGATAACATTAGTTATTATGGTGATACAGAAAAGGAGATTCTGTTCTCGATGCATACGGTATTTCGCATAGGAGAAATGAAAAAATTAGAAAATGGAGTTATGCAAGTGACCTTGTTACTAACGAACGAAGAAGATCAACAATTGCGACTTCTCAAGCAACACTTGCGAGCAGAGGACCTACAAAGATTTCAGTGGGCGCGTTTACCTGACTTCATGGTAAGAATTGGCAAATTTGACAAGGCTGAAGAGATCTATGAAATGTTATATAAGTCAAATTTGGAAAATGGTAGAGAAAAAGTTGCTGTGTATAGTGGCCTTGGTACTGTCAAACTGCATAAAGGCGATTATAAAAATGCAATCTTATTTTTCGAAAAAGCACTGGAATTGATCAAGAAAGTTTATGGGTCGGATTGTACAAGTGCGTCTTCGTTGTTAGGAAACTTGGCGTTGGCACACGCAAACATGGGAAATTATCAATGTGCACTAGCATTCTATCGAGAAGCGCTTAGCGTTTTCGAGAAACGTCCCATTTCTGCTTCTTTTGAGATATATTCGTTGTATCTCAACATGGGTATTTTGTATACGAATATTTGTGAATATTCAAATGCGCTGTCATTTCTTGAAAAAGCACTGGAAATCGGTAAGAGTAACCTGCCTGAAAATTATCCTGTACTAAGTAATATCTACAACTCTATTGGTGACGTTCATAGAATACTTGGAAACTATTCAGTAGCAGTTTCGTATTTTCAAAAGGCTTTGCTGATTCGAGAAAAAACGCTTCCATCAGATCATCCGGCGCTGGCAACAATTTACAATAATATTGCTGTAGCATACCAATATATGAATGATAACTCCAGTGCACTGGTACTCCTTAGAAAGGCGCTCGAAATCAACCAGAAAGCATTTGGTCCGTCTCATCCTAACTTGGGTGGTACATGTTTGTCAATAGGTGCTGCATACAATTCGATGGGAGATCATGTCAACGCACTTTCTTATTCTGAAAAAGCCTTGGATATACTACAACAAACTCTATCCCCCACATCATCATCTTTTAGCTGCTATTTTAAACAATATCGGATTCGCTCATCAAGGTTTACGGAACTATTCGACTGCGTTATCTTATTATCAAAAAGCATTGACTATTCAACAGCAGTGTCTTCCTCCAGATCATACTGACATGGCCGGGGCCTACAATAATATGGGTGGGTGCAAGCTAAGCGTAGGAGAAGTTGATGAAGCGATTTCATATTTCAAAAAGGCACTTGCCATACGACAAAAATGTCTACATCCTCTTCATCCTAGTATGGCTCTGGTCTATCGATCTATGGCTTGTGCGTATATAGAAAAAGGTGATTATTCTAACGCACAATTATTCTTAATGAAAACTATCGAAATTTTTCAAAGAATCCCTCAATCTAACAATGACGACCTTGCTGATATTTACAATCAAATGGGTAATACATATCAAAAAATGGAAAATTACACGGATGCGCTGATATTCTATAGAAAAGAGTTGAATATCAGGAAGAAAAACCTGCCACCTGATCACCTTGATCATGACGGTATTTGCATACATGTTGGACGAAAGCAACTTGTTACAAAAGAGAATTCTAATGCACAGCGGTCTTCTCAAACAACTTTCGAAATGAATGAGAAATCATATCAGCAGGCTTACCGTAGTGTTGCTATCGTATACAAAAATATGGGGCTTGCGTGTACTAAGAATAAAGATTATTCGAATGCCNTTCTCGATGCATACGGTATTTCGCATAGGAGAAATGAAAAAATTAGAAAATGGAGTTATGCAAGTGACATTGTTACTAACGAACGAAGAAGATCAACAATTGCGACTTCTCAAGCAACACTTGCGAGCAGAGGACCTACAAAGATTTCAGTGGGCGCGTTTACCTGACTTCATGGTAAGAATTGGCAAATTTGACAAGGCTGAAGAGATCTATGAAATGTTATATAAGTCAAATTTGGAAAATGATAGAAAAAAAGTTGCTGTATATGGCGGCCTTGGTATTGTCAAACTGTATAAAGGCGATTATAGAAATGCAATCTTATTTTTTGAAAAAGCACTGGAATTGATCAAGAAATTTTATGGGTCGGATTGTACAAGTACGTCTTCGTTGTTAGGAAACTTGGCTTTGGCACACTCAATCATGGGAAATTATCAATGTGCACTAGCATTCTATCGGGAAGCGCTTAACGTTTTCGAGAAACGTCCCATTTCTGCTTCTTTTGAGATATATTCGTTGTATCTCAACATGGGTATTTTGTATACGAATATTGGTGAATATTCAAATGCGCTGTCATTTCTTGAAAAAGCACTGGAAATTGGTAAGAGTAATCTGCCTGAAAATTATCCTGTACTAAGTAATATCTACAACTCTATCGGTGACGTTCATAGAATACTTGGAAACTATTCAGTAACAGTTTCGTATTTTCAAAAAGCTTTGCAAATTCGAGAAAAAACGCTTCCATCAGATCATCCGGCGCTGGCAACAATTTACAATAATATTGCTGTAGCATACCAATGCATGAATGATAACTCCAGTGCACTGGCACTCCTTAGAAAGGCGCTCGAAATCAACCAGAAAGCATTTGGTCCGTCTCATCCTAACTTGGGTGGTACATATTTGTCCATAGGTGCTGTATACAATTCGATGGGGGATCATTTCAACGCACTTTCTCATTCTGAAAAAGCCTTGGATATACTACAGCAAACTCTATCCCCACATCATCATGATTTGGCTACTATTTTAAACAATATCGGATTCGCTCATCAAGGTTTACAGGACTATTCGACTGCGCTGTCTTATTATCAGAAAGCATTGGCTATTCAACAGCAGTGTCTTCCTCCAGATCATACTGACATGGCTAGGACCTACAATAATATGGGTGAGTGCAAGCTAAGCGTAGGAGAAATTGATCGAGCGATTTCATATTTCAAAAAGGCACTTGCCATACGACAAAAATGTCTACATCCTCTTCATCCTAGTATGGCTCTGGTCTATCGATCTATGGCTTGTGCGTATATAGAAAAAGGCGATTATTCTAACGCACAACTTATTCTTAATGAAAACTATCGAAATTCTTCAAAGAATCCCTCAATCTAACAATGACGACCTCGCTGATATTTACAATCGAAGGGGTGATACATATCAAAAAATGGAGAATTATACGGATGCGCTGATATTCTATAGAAAAGCGTTGGATATCAGGGAGAAAAACCTGCCGCCTGATCACCTTGATCATGACGGTATTTGCGTACATGTTGGACGAAAGCAACTTGTTACAAAAGAGAATTCTAATGCACAGCGCTCTTCTCAAACAACTTTCGAAATGAATGAGAAATCATATCAGCAGGCTTACCGTAGTGTTGCTATTGTATACAAAAATATGGGGCTTGCGTGTACTAAGAATAAAGATTATTCGAATGCCCGCGCCTTTTATCAGAAGACATTGGAGCTAGAGGAGAAATTTACTCCTCCGGATGACTATGAGCTAAGTGTCACTTATAGTGGTCTTGGTATTCTACACATGGCTCTTGCCGAATACTCAACTTCATTATCGTTTTTTCAAAAATCATTGGAAATTCGAGAGAAAATCTTTCCTGCGAAGCATCCAAAAATCCTCAAACCTTACAGTAATCTGGCTGTGTTATATAAGTGTATGAAAAACTACTCCGCTGCACTGTCATTTTTCCAAAAAGCTCTGGAAACCGACTCCAACAACTCGTTTGAGAATCAGTTGATACGGATCAATGTTTACTCACATCTGCATGATATCTATCGTTTAATGGGAGACAACGGTATGGCAATGCTATATGCACAGCTCGTTGTGAACTCAAGTGAGGACCGCAAATGAGACCGTGAATACTGAAAATTATATATTTATTCTAAGTTGAAGAATTAATAAAGAAACAAAAAAATAAAATGATTTTTGATCACGAAAGAAAGCAATGTTTATAATTGTCTTTTGACAAACGACGTGATCTCAATCTTTGTATGTTACTGATGGATCGAGTCCCTCAGCTAACCATTCCTCATTTCTTGCAAACAGAGCCGTACATAGAACAACGCGTCTCATCTTTTCAAACTTCAAAACACATTCCTACCAATATTACAATGTCTTTATTCATTGTATTATAAAAATATCTTGTCGAAAAATCGTCCCCCTCTCAAGCAAACCAAGAAGATCATTCAAAATACACCCACCAACTCTCACCGGATAAATCTGGATTCTTTTCGGTGAACGATCTTCAAATTGATAATTGANAATGAGAAATCATATCAGCAGGCTTACCGTAGTGTTGCTATTGTATACAAAAATATGGGGCTTGCGTGTACTAAGAATAAAGATTATTCGAATGCCCGCGCCTTTTATCAGAAGACATTGGAGCTAGAGGAGAAATTTACTCCTCCGGATGACTATGAGCTAAGTGTCACTTATAGTGGTCTTGGTACTCTACACATGGCTCTTGCGGAATACTCAACTTCATTATCGTTTTTTCAAAAATCATTAGAAATTCGAGAGAAAATCTTTCCTGCGAAGCATCCAAAAATCCTCAAACCTTACAGTAATCTGGCTGTGTTATATAAGTGTATGAAAAATTACTCCGCTGCACTGTCATTTTTCCAAAAAGCTCTGGAAACCGACTCCAACAACTCGTTTGAGAATCAGTTGATACGGATCAATGTTTACTCACATCTGCGTGATATCTATCGTTTAATGGGAGACAACGGTATGGCAATGTTATATGCACAGCTCGTTGTGAACTCAAGTGAGGACCGCAAATGAGACCGTGAATACTGAAAATTATATATTTATTTTAAGTTGAAGAATTAATAAAGAAACAAAAAAATAAAATGATTTTTGATCACGAAAGAAAGCAATGTTTATAATTGACTTTTGACAAACGACGTGATCTCAATCTTTGTATGTTACTGATGGATCGAGTCCCTCAGCTAACCATTCCTCATTTCTTGCAAACAGAGCCGTACGTAGAGCAGTATCCATATATTGGTCTTTCGTGTATTCTGGTGTCAACTTGCTGTCAAGAGGTCGTTCTTTCGCTTCGGCAGCACTGAATAACGATTTAAAATGAGTAAAAATCATGAGAGGATGGTTTTCTTTTGCAATGATTCGACTGAGTTGATTCGATAACAAACGGAAAAATCCCCATCCATTCGAGGATAATAGGTGTGAACACATTTCTTCCAATATTCTGTCTCCACCTTACATAGAACAACGCGTCTCATCTTTTCAAACTTCAAAACGCATTTCTACCAATATTACAATGTCTTTATTCATTGTATTATAAACATATTTTGTCGAAAAATCGTCTCCCTTTCTTTCAAGCAAACCAGGAACATCATTCAAAATACACCCACCAACTCTCACCGGATAAATCTGGATTCTTTTCAGTGAACGAATTTCACATTGATAATTGAAATTATAAGATTCAGCTTTAAACAGATAATCCACAGCTGTTTTATTCCGAATCAATTTCACAGTCTAAAATGGAAACGTTTATCTCCCATCTTATCGGAACAAAGTTCTTACATAGTCGCCACCAACTGCCCGATCAGTTGTAATTCTCGTTGTACAAAGTGTAATCGCATCGTTCAGTGTCCATCTGAAAGGTTATTGTCATCAAATTGAGCAGATGGACCACATCTGTGTAGAAGTAAATGATGAACGATATCAAAATTTTTCTCCACAATCAAGACTTTATACTAACACGATAAGAAAAAGTAGTATATTCCTTAAATCTTCACCGATTTCACATCCTGCAATCCGCATGTCGTTTTGCTGAATATATTCCTGAAGTTTTGTACACTGTACAGCGAAATGTTGTATCATTTGATGGAACGGTATACGAAAGTAGATGAAATTCTCATACATAAAATGAAACTTGTTGAACAAACATTATATAAACATGGTTCGAAAAAGTCAAGGCCATCGAATTCAAGTGGAAGTATACGTGATCTCCGTCGATGTTGGTGATACGTTATTTCCGAATCAACTGGATCGTCAAAAGACCATGTGCATAGATCAAAATATTCGTGAAAATACATTTGTTGAATAGTCCATTGCGTCACATGTGTCGAGTAAATGTTTGAATTGAATCGCAGTTCAACCGTTGAGTTCTCTACCTTGCAATGGTATTCAATCATTGGTCGAACAAAACTAGATGCATATCGATCCTGGCCACAGCAATCGAGACAATATTTTATGATACTTGAAAGTGAACTTTGACATTGCTGTCAATCCATCTGACTTCAATGTTCGCACCTTTCATGTCTCCAGCTAAAAACATGTTCAATCAACAATCTTCCAACTACAAAAATTATAAATTCAATCTGGAGTTATTCTTAAAGAAATCCAACCAATCGTATTGACATGCAAACCAAATATTATCGCTCGCTCATCTTTATGAATACTTCACCAAAGATCGGCAACACCGCTTTTAAGTTCTGCTGAATATGTGTGATTTGTGAACGGTCGAATAGAACACGAAATCGAGACACATTTTTCCAGAAATTAATCATAATAAAACAATGCTCTGTCACATTGTTCTAAACTTTTGACGAATGAAAATATGTTGATCACTTGACACGATTTTGTATTTGAAAAATGAGTAATCTTACGCTTTATTGTGTTTCTTCCGACGATATTTGAAGAGACTCATGTCAAATTTAGCAAAGCTAAATGAATTATTCTCTCTTGCAGTTTCAAGGATACTTTCTTCTTGTGTTTCGAGATTAAACTATGCTTTTTCAGGAAAAAGATTTATTTGGGATATCAGATAAGAACATTAAATTGAGCGAGATATAGAACACTTGTAAGATGCGGGGAAAAAGAGAAATGACGCACAGTTTACCAAGCAATCTTTGAAATAATGCTTTGTGGATATTTACGAATGTACCATTTTCGAAGTTCATCAACAACTAGCCAAAGTACACCGAATCCGAGCGTTGGCATGATGTATTTGGCAGGCACCGGAGCTGTAGCGAATATTTCATTGAGCCAGGTGACTTGAGTGAAAAGTAAAACAATACCTATTGAGAAGGCTATAGCCACGAATGCGAACCAGTTGCGATTGTTGCCCCAGAAAGGATTGTGTTGCAAAATGGAGGCATAGCGCGTTCGCGTGGCAAAGTAATTAAAGACTTGAAAGACGCATAACGAACAATAATAGATCGATTGAGACACGTTGATCATCTCAAGAATTTTCTCGGGACTGTACGCCGTAGGTGGATTGATACCGAAATACTCGTAAGTGAACATGAGTGAATAGAATGATATACCGTTATCGATCCAATAGTAACAGAAGCAAAAGAATGCCGTGAAACATTCTAGATTGCCGATGAGCATATAAGCATGAAAAAGCAATCGCCAGTTGAGGAGATGATCATCTTTTCGATTCGATGGTGGTCGAGATAGAATCTCCGTTTCTGGTTTTTCCATCACCAGAGCCAATGATATCGAGACATCTAAATGTTCAAACTTTTATCTGGAGACATCCCAACCAGTTCTTACCATTGAGCACGCACAGAATCGTTGCTAAAAATGCCGAAAGTGATAGAGGAACGCCAAGCCACATATTAAACATAATTGGCCAAAATTCGGACCAAGATCCTGAAGAATATCGAGTAATAATATGTTGCACATGACACCTGGAAAAATATTTACCTGCTGGCAATAAAAACATGACGACTTTTTTCAAATTATCAGCCAGAAGACGACCTGTTTCGATGGATGATACGATGGATGAAAATCGATTGTCGAGCAGAATCAAATCAGCCGCTTCTTTCGAAACACTCGTTCCTGTTTGCATAGCAACACCCAGGTCAGCATATTTCAATGACGGTGCATCGTTGGTTCCATCGCCGATTGCAGCGACGATTTCCCCGCGTCGTTGGAACTCCATGATGATGCGCAATTTCTGTTCCGGTGATGTACGAGCGAATATTAATTCTTCATGAGACAACACCCAATTCCACATAAAATCATCGAGATAATCAACTTGGTTACCTGCAATCTAAAATATTCCAGACGACGTCAAACATGTCAAACATCATCAGATCTTACCACAATAGCATAAGGAATTCTTTCTTTTTCTTTTTCTTTGTAAAAGATTGGTTCTGCCTCAGTGAATTGATTCTTGAACGATGCATACCAGCGTCTATGCCAAGCTTGTTTTTCCAGTTTAATGTGCTTTTGGATAGTTGTACTGGCGGAACGAAGTGCCGTTATCGTTCCGGCGATATGTTCTTGAAAGAGTGTTTCATTTCGATATAACTGAAAAACTAACTGTTTGGTTTCGTTCTCTCGCATTTGAAAAGAATCGATTCCGTTTCGTTTGGCAATCTCCGCTGAGAAGATATTGACTTGCTCGCCAATCGCTCTGGCAGTTGCCGGATGATCGCCGGTAATCATTGCGACACGAATACGCGCATCTCGGATTCTGAGTATCGAATCGGGCGCGTCGAACCGAAGAGAATCGAACAGCGAGAAAAGACCGAGGAAACAATATTTTTCTTGAGGAAATCCGTTTAAATTATGTATTTCGACAACTCTCGACTGACGTCGCTCATTATGTTGCTGCATTAGTTGATCATATCGCATCTGTGTTAATTTTTGTTGACACATAGCGATAATGCGATAACCACTTCTGCCTGAAAGCATCTGAATTGAATACTCTTATCAAACACATCGTTTTGCTTACTTAGTATTTCTTGTTGATTCAAAATTTTCTCTTTTATTTCCGTTGTTAATGGTAAGATTTGACCATCATTTGTTTTGTATGTAGAACAACGTAGAATAACTATTTCTGGGGCACCTTTCATTGTAATTAACACTGTATTCCGAGGATCTATTGAAGATAAATTATCTGATTCCATTCGATTCGCCGTAATCATGAANTTCCATCACCAGAGCCAATGATATCGAGACATCTAAATGTTCAAACCTTTGTTTGAAGACATTCCAACCAGTTCTTACCATTGAGCACGCACAGAATCGTGGCTAAAAATGCCGAAAGCGATAGAGTAACGCCAAGCCACATATTAAACATAATTGGCCAAAATTCGGACCAAGATCCTGAAGAATATCAAAAAATAATATGTTGCACATTTATAACTGGAAAAATATTCACCTGCTGGCAATAAAAACATGACGACTTTTTTCAAATTATCAGCCAAAAGACGACCTGTTTCGATGGATGATACGATGGATGAAAATCGGTTGTCGAGCAGAATCAAATCACCTCCTTCTTTCGAAACACTCGTTCCTGTTTGCATAGCAATACCCAGGTCAGCATATTTCAATGACGGTGCATCGTTTGTTCCATCGCCGATTGCAGCGACGATTTCCCCGCGTCGTTGGAACTCCATGATGATGCGCAATTTTTGTTCCGGTGACGTACGAGCGAATATTAATTCTTCATGAGACAACACCCAATTCCACATAAAATCATCGAGATAATCAACTTGATTACCGACAATCTGAAATATTCCAGACGACGTCAAACATGTCAAACATCATCATACTTTACCACAATAGCATAAGGAATTCTTTCTTTTTCTTTTTCTTTGTAAAAGATTGGATCTGCCTCAGTAAATTGATTCTTGAGCGATGCATACCAGCGTCTATGCCAAGCTTGCTTTTCGATAATTGTACTTGCAGATCGAAGTGCCGTTATCGTTCCGGCGATGTGTTCTTCAAAGAGCGTTTCATTTCGATGTAGCCGAAAAACTAACTGTTTGGTTGCGTTTTCTCGCATTTGAAATGAATCGATTCCGTTTCGTTTGGCAATCGCCGCTGAGAAGATATTCACTTGCTCGCCAATCGCTCTGGCAGTTGTCGGATGATCGCCGGTAATCATTACGACACGAATACGTGCATCTCGGATTCTGAGTATGGAATCGGGCGCGTCGAACCGAAGAGAATCGAATAGCGAGAAAAGACCGAGGAAACAATACTTTTCTCCAGGAAATCCGTTTAAATTATGGATTTCGACAACTCTCGGCTGACGTCGCTCGTCATGTTGCTGTATTAGTTGATTATATCGCATCTGTGTTAATTTTTGTTGACACATAGCGATAATGCGATAACCACTTCTGCCTGAAAACATCCGAATTGAATACTCTTATCAAACATATCGTTCTGCTTACTTAGTACTTCTTGTTGATTCAAAAATTTCTCTTTTATTTCCGTTGTTAATGGTAAGATTTGACCACTATTTGTTTTGTATGTAGAACAACGTTGAATAACAATTTCGGGGGCACCTTTCATTGTAATTAACACTGTATTCCGCGGATCTGTTGAAGATAAATTATGTGATTCCATTCGATTCGCTGTAATCATGAATTTGTTTGCTGAATTGAATGGTAAAGTTTTCAGTCGAGGATTTACACAGCGTATTTCATCAATGTACATATAACATTGATAAACACACAAATTGTAAAGTGCAACATCGACAGGATCACCAATAACATGTAATTCCGAATTCGCTTTCATCATATCTCGATCTTTTGATTGACTTCTGACAAGTTGCATTTTGGCATTGTTGCACAATGCAGCGCCAAGAAGTAAATCATCGAACACTTCGACGCAGAATCGGTTTTGTTGGTTTTCGCTATACTCATCCTGATGATTTCCGTTGATCGATGGTCTTTCGATGACTGGAGATACTTTCGCAGTACGTTGAGAACCATCACGGAGTCCAAATGATACTCGACGATTTGTGTCTGACATTGTTGCTCTTGTTGGTGATTCTTCATTGCCGTTGTCAAACATTTTACATCCATTGTCCGTATCCCAGAAGATCTCGCTCACGACCATTTTGTTCTTTGTCAATGTGCCTGTTTTATCCGTGGCAATTATCGAAACAGAATTGAAGCTTTCAACAATTTGCAAACTTTTTCCTAAAATTCGCTGTTGACTCATTCGTTTAGCCACGATTGCCAACGCTAAACATTCCGAGTCAAAATCAACTGTCACCGCGTGAAAATGTTACTCACCGAGCGTAACAGCAGATGGTAAACCAACAGGTAAGAAACTTACGATCATTCCAATGGAATTGAGGATATTTCCAATAAGAGTAATGAATGCTGGATGGCTATTGTTAAGCCAGCCTCCCCATGTAATCCAAAGGATAATAATACTCATAATATCGGCGACGAGAACAAACAATACAAAGCGATTGACTTCACGATGTAGGTTCGTAGTTCTTTCATTTGAACTCTCTTGCGTTGTGCGTGACATTTTACCCAAAATGGTGCTGTTTCCTGTTGCGACAACCACTGCTTCTCCCATACCTTCTTCAACAAGCGAAGAATAGAATCCAAGATTAGTTGTCTCCATCAAATTTTCACTGGTACATTCAACTGTGATTGAGACGGGTTTTGTTTCACCGGTTAATTCGGCCGAATTAAGCTAAACATTTATGTAGAAGATCATAAAAGATCATTTTGAAAGGAAAATTTACCTTCAGTCCTTCGCAAGTTAAAAATCGACAATCAGCTGGTACGACATCACCCATTTTAATTAAGATAATATCACCAGGAACAAGTTCGATAATCGGAATGTGTTGTTCTACACCATCACGTCGAGTGGGAACAGATTTCGGTAATAGTTTTGCAAACGCAGCAATAATCTTAATCGACTTGAGCTTTTGATACACATTGAGAAAAGCATTGAAAACCGTCACCGATAAAAGCACGATACCAAGACTTAAATTTGTAATAGATGGCTCTGATCCTCCAAGTGGCTGATAAGCGATTAGAGCAAGAATACCACCAGCTAGAAGAATTGAATTAAAACCCATGAATAATTGTTTGATTAATAATCGGAAGTAGTTCGGTGAAGGGGGAGGTGTGATCTGATTACTACCATAGCACGTCTGCGCTTTACTCACAAAAGCAGACGATAAGCCAGTTTGGTGGTTAGATTGAAAACGTCGCATAACACTGTCTATGGGAATGATATGAACATCTTGATCAAACCGTGACATGTCAGTACCAGTCCAAAGATCAATCTTCGTAGCGTCTCCTTCGACCGTACTACGAACATTTTGCTGTTGATGCGGCATTCTTGATTAAGTGTGTTCATGCAACAGAATCTAAAACTAGTTTTCTTATTACTTGTAGGAATAAGGATTAATGAAAATGCTAGCAATGCTCAGACGTATTGAAGAAGTACTTACGCGTGTGTTTTCCAAGTTTTTTCAGTTGAAATTAAGCGCCATCGATCTTTTGACACAAATGAAAGGATAAGGTTTGTCAGATATATGAGGAAAGTTTTATGTATAATTCAGGAAACATTACAGTGGAAAGGAATTGACAGCGTGAAAGTCTGTGAAAAGATTTAAAGAAAAGTATCAGATGAATGTCTAATGGGACGTCATAGAAAGAGAAGGAGATACAAATCATGAAAAATAAATATACTCAACTAACAATGTGATATGACATGTCGAGAAGAACGAGGAAGAGATGTCTTATTAATGATGATTGTCATATCGGACAGAACAATGAGAGAAAGAACAGGCTATAATAAACTATAATATTAATATTTCCGTTGGTTCTTATTCAAACATTTCTTAAGCACATTATAAATATTCTACGTTTTTATATCGAAATATGTGATTAAAATAACGTCGGTTGAGTTCGTCATAATCCGATTCCCCAATCCTTCCTTTTATACATCATAAGGTGGGCTCTGTTTGAGATGTAGGCCTTTTCAAATAACGCTAAAGTCTCTCAAGAATAAAAGTAATTTATTTTAAAAACAACCGAGAATCTTCTTAATGAGCACTTCGGACACCCATAGATCTCTCATTGATCTTGAATATTCAAAATCTGTTAGTCGCAATGCTTTCTGTCGAATGAAATACTCTGTAAATTGAACTATTTAAAGAACAGTTTTTCTCTCGGCATATTTAGAATGTGATACTATATCGACCTTCTGTGACTCACCTAAACGACGATGTTTTACCTCATAGATGGCAACTCTAGAATTAATTAGTATGCTTTATTCGATGCGAGTGCATGCACGAAAGTTTGGTTTTTCTATACAGTATTAAATGAAACAAAGCGTCGGAGAGTCGTCGCCTCAAAGTAAGCACACTCAGAATACTGATCCCAATGAGTAATGTTGAATAGACGGATTTTCTTATTTGCTAACAAAAGAGAGTTCTGGATCTTTTGTGACGAAGATTATATACGTTCTCTTCCAACATATTGTATGACTTGAGAATATAGTTGATTGCCTCGGATGTTTATGAAATAAAGTAAATTTAGAATTTTACAACGTATTTCGATCTTATTGAAGATTTTCGGACTTTGTTCGCTACCAATTTATCAAATTGAAACAGAAGTGTTTTACAAGAGAAATTTTAGGAGATCTCGATCGCGATGTTGGTTATCGAGCACGAATTTCCTCTTGATACTGAATGACGTTGATAATCTGACCGAGAGCAAATATTAGAAAAAAAAACGGTATTTTTAATTACAAACTGTGATTACACGACTGTTTTGGATGACCCGTCTGTTGTTCCTAGCACGAACCCGACGTACATTAGTTTCAATATTTACATCAAATTTGTTTCTATGCAGTTTCGTCTTAGGAAAAGATGAGTTGTCGCTTTCTCTCTCATCCAAGCGTTTATTAATTACCTAGGATGCAATTTTTACAAAGTGCTTCCTTATTTGCACAATTTAAAAGACAAAATCAAAACTGTCTGTGTGTACGCTCCTTTTCCTTTGTAAACGTTCATACCAATGTATGTCGTCTCTTTTGCAATTGTTTTTGTTTTACCAACGTCACACTTTGTTTTTCTCCGTTATAGTATTCGTTTGAAAAGGCGGAATAGTTTTCTCTTCTTTCAATATCTCTTCTCACTTAGCAACAGGAGTGTATAAAAACAATTTGCAGTGCCAAAGCTCCTTCCTATTTCTTTGTCGTCGCCACTTTGTGAACCATGTAAATAGATAAATTTCGTTTTACGTATCTCTTTCTACATCTTCGTCTGATGGATGCATTCCATTTTTCCCGGTGGAACAATCACATCATCAATATTCACCATTTCAGTTAGTTTCATTCTATCTTCATCTTTCTAACAGTCCTTACAAGAATACTCCATCGGGCACTTCGATCAATGTTATTGTGCGAGAACGATAGTCATGGGGTCGAAATGCATACTCTTCCAACTGCTCTCCTGCCACCATTGCTGCACAAATTCCCAAGATCAGTGATTCAAACACCCACACCCTCACAGAATCGACTGTTGCTGTTTTGTATCCGAAAGACTTTGTAAGTAACATTCATCATCATCATCATACATCTGTGTATGTAACATAAATAATAGGAAGATATCTGTCTTCAACCTATTGCTATTCTGACTGCAGCATTCTTTGCTGCAATGGTACCAGTTCAAGGTTTGGCTTTGTTTGCTGCATTTACAAAATTGGGAAACACATTCAATCCATCGAAGATCAAGCCCATGTCGTCGATAGCGATAAAATAGCGGCGTTATAATGCTCACATAGCGATCGCATTGTTAGAT